CAATATCTATCCAAGATAACTTGTAAGTATCTTACGTAATGGAAAGCGATAAAATAGAGTAGATAATAGGTTTATTTAAGGTAATAATTGAGGCCGGAGGCGACTTCGGCAAAACATGTGGAGTCAGTCAACAGGCCAGTTTGGGCACTCTGACTTTCATGGACGTCACATGGCCGTGGATTGCTTGCGGGTGGAGAGAGAGGCCCCGATGATTAAGTAGGCTGGCCTCAGTGAATCATGCGCCGGTCTTTGTCGGCCTTCAGATTTTCTTACGCTTGTCGGGCAAGTAAATCGATTCCACGAAAACGTACCGATCAGAGTGCCGAAACCGGCCCGTTGACCTACTCCACAAGCTTTTCCGAAAACACTGGCCGGAGACTGTAGATACTAGCTCTACGCCGTCTCACTAAAACCTTGCAGCACTGCCAAAGCTACAGGGGAGAGAGAGCGTATGCCAACCTTTTCAACAGAAGGGAAAGGAGGAACGAGGGAGAAGGGGTGGGATTCCCACATCCCTCCTTTCTCTCCTTTTGAACAGGTCGGGATACACCCCCCTCCTGTATCTTTGGCTGTACCGCACGGTTTTAATGACATGATATGTAATGTCCCTTTTCGTAAAAATAAAAACAACAAAAACAAAACAAAAAAACAACAACTTACGAACAAGGTACAGAAAAAAAAAATGCAGCAGTAAAACCGATGAACAACGCCGATTTCGACATGTGACTAATTGACAAATGTATGTCGTTTATAAGTAGGTCCCTGTGTTTTTGGAGCCTATTTTTCTTCGAATTCGGGTTTTTCTTTTTTCGTGGGTTTATGTTTGCAACAGATTTTGTGTTTTTTGGTGTAAATTCTTGGCAGAGAACAAAACATCGGGGTTTATCGGGGGTGCAAGAAAATAAAACACGTGCATGGAATTCCCCAACCTCGTGGGACCCGAGTACTTGGAAAACGCCTTCATAGCGATAAGTGAAGGATGCGAGGTAATGGGTTGCTGAAGAAGGAACAAGCCTTGCGGACAGTTCAAAATGAAGCGGTAGATATGAAATTTCTTCCCGCAAGGCCGTGTTGAACCACTCTGATTCTGGGTGTTTTTGCTTTTCCTAGTTTCTGATAAAACCGGTTCGGGGGTTAATTATTGGGATTTATCGCTATAGGGGGCGCGCTGGTCAGGCGAAATGGCGGACGAAAGGAGGTCGTTTTCGTCGTTCAGCACGCGGACCACCATACATCTCTTCTCTCTGCAGCGTAAAATCGGTGTTGCATATAAAAGAAAAGCGAATTTTCGACGATAGAAACCTTCTTCTAGTCAGTGCGTAGAAAAGGCATGGCGGAAGCTCCTGAAAAGAACGCGTTCCCGTTCCAGTTCCACCTATGCAAAATGGAACGTCGGCGTTCCTCCGTTCCTCCTGAAAAGAACGCGTTCCCGTTCCAGTTCCACCTATGCAAAATGGAACGTCGGCTTTCCTCCGTTCCTCCTGAAAAGAACGCGTTCCCGTTCCAGTTCCACCTATGCAAAATGAAACGTCGGCGTTCCTCCGTTCCTCCTGAAAAGAACGCGTTCCCGTTCCAGTTCCACCTATGCAAAATGGAACGTCGGCGTTCCTCCGTTCCTCCTGAAAGGAACGCGTTCCCGTTCCAGTTCCACCGATGCAAAATGGAACGTCGGCGTTCCTCCGTTCCTCCTGAAAGGAACGCGTTCCAGTTCCACCTATGCAAAATGGAACGTCGGCTTTCCTCCGTTCCTCCTGAGAGGAACGCGTTCCAGGAACGCCGTTCCGTAGAACACTGGTCAAAACGCAGGCGAGCTTGTGCACAGTCAATAGGACGTACTCGATTCTCAATATACAAGGTGTCACAAAAAAAAAAAAAAACTTATACGTTCTTTTTTACCGCAAAAAAATAAAATAGGCACCGGCGACCGCTCATTCTCCGCCCAAAAGTAGGGCTAGAGGTCACAACCAGATGCCAAAGTTTCAGCCCGATCCCATACCTTAATCATAAATTATAAGTGATTTTCTGAAAATTTCAATGGGAAAATGGCGGCCCACAGTGTTTTGGAATACATAGGGCTCTATGGCACCAGAAACCGAAAACGGGCTAAAATGGGCTCAATTTCCCCATTGAAATTTTCAGAAAATCACTTATAACTTTTGAATAACTTTTGCATCTGGTTGTGACCTCTAGCGCTACGTTTGAGCGGAGAATTGCTCAATGGTAAGAAAAGATAGAGGGGAAGAGGTGGCGGAGCTGCTATTATGATTAAAAATAGAATAACATTTGATGTCCTTGAGGAAGTCCGGGATGTGGAAGCATTATGGATCAAGATAAAATTGAGTAGCCGTACAGAACGCGTTCCAATGAGAGATCCAAACGCCGGACGCCGGCGTTCCGTGTTCTAAGGCGTTCGACGAGTGCAGTGGAGGTAAAAGCAGGGTCTACCTACTGACCGCTCCAATCAGAACTCAGCGTTCTGACATCCCTCTCGTCTCCTCCTCTCCCTCAGCGTTCTCTGTCGCTCTACCAGTACACGTGCACCTACCAGCAACGTTCCGTGGACACAACACCCTCTGTCCTCGACACCGCCGTGCGCGCATCCGAACATGACGAGTTTTGCTTTGACACGGATGCCAATTTCGTTCAACTTTCCTCAATTAGCGCCGCGTTTTCGCGAGTCGGTGTTCTTGTGAGCCCCGGGAGATGTGTTTATTGCCAGCAGTTATTATCCGCTCCAGCAGGGCGAGAATAATTGACTTTGTTGGTGTAGCGACCCTGGAGATCGGGACGGGATGAAATCTGCCCATACCACCCAGAAGACAATGCCGGCGAATTACGTCATCGTTAGTGGATCTTTGACCCGCCCCAAACTGCCAACACGCCAAAGCTTGACGAGAGATATGCCGCAAAGCCACGTATCTCGTCGCGGGTCCTGTAAACCTGTAAGCCTGTAAAGTGATATGTAGACTGCAAACCTGCAAACCTGTAAAGTGATATGTAGACTCGACCACCATTCCACCATACCCAGACAAGTAAACCAAAAGAAGTACCGTCCGTACCCTCAAAGACGATGCTCTTAAAGGGATACTGAACCAAGGAATTTAGTGTCCATAATAAGTGGCGCACGTTCTTTCCACGAGCCAGCAGCCGCCGGTGTGCGCGAGCACACGCAACAAAAATGACGTCACAGACCTCCATTCGCGGTTGAGATGACAGTGAAATGTATGGGCTTCGGACCAAAGGAGAATAAAGACAAGTTTTTCATCTACACAGTGGTGTCTGGTGTAAAAGGTAAGCGATGAATTGGTCTAACAAGTACTTAGCTTTCACTTGTAGAGATGAAAAGCCTGTCTTTATTCTCCTTTAGTCCGAAGCCCATGCATTTCACTGTCATCTCAACCGCGAATGGAGGTCTGTGACGTCATTTTTGTTGCGTGTGCTCGCGCACACCGGCGGCTGCTAGCTTGTGGAAAGAACGTGCGCCACTTATTATGGACACTAAATTCTTTGGTTCAGTATCCCTTTTTAACCCCGCACACAAGAGCTTTTCAGTCGTGCCTCAAGAGTGTGCTAGAATACAGTAGCGCAAATCAAAAACAAAGAGAATTTGACTTCCTCGCGCGAGGCTACATAACCTGTTATGCGAGTTGTGAACCTGCGAATAGAGTGAATACGGACCCGCGTTTCATGTCTGTGCAGGTGGCGGGACACGTCGAAAAAATTGGAAAAGGGGAAACAATGTAAAATACAAAAAAAAAATAAATAAATAAACACTAAGAGCTTTCTCCTGCCCGGGAGAAGAAGAAAAAGCACGATGGAATGTGACGGAGAGCCTACTCGGCGTTGTCTTACTTGATCTTTGTCTTTCGTATAAAAAATCGTACATGCCTTAACCGTTTTTCTAGTCGTTCTAGTGACCGGTCATACAAAAAATTGTGTTTTCTGTTCCGCTATTCTCCCGTTCCTGATGTTTTCTATTTGGTTGAACTTGCTTTTCTTATGCTGCTGAATGTTCTGCTCGTATTTCTCCAGCTATTGTATTATGCTTATATTCTTAAAAAGTAATGAGTAAATAAAGTAATCCGTTACCAATATTTTGTAACGAAATTACATTACAAATTACTTCTGAAAAAAAGTAACGTAGCAATTCCAAAATTACTTTAAAAAGTAACGGATTATAAGTAATCCGTTACATGTAACGGATTATTTCACGTCTGGATATATGGAGATGACTTGCCTTGAACGACAGGGAGTTTCTGACTACAAAGCTAAGAAAATCTGACATCTTCCCAATCACCACACCTACAGTCGTCCTACTCTCTGTGAGGCTTAGTATATTTTTCGTGGTGCTAAAAATACGATTTGCTGCTCTTGGCTGCCAGCCGGTATTGGCGACTCCAGCGAAGTGAATGGACGCCACCTAGAGGCTACCACAGAAATTTGTGGCGGCAGGTTCGCGCGTTAGCCTGTTTGAGCGATTCAGATATTCACGGCGCCTGGCAATCTATCTCACTTTAGCATCGACTGTTGTCAACCGCGCATGCTAAAGCGCGAACTAGTTGCTTTAAATGAAGCCTCGGCGGCTGCACGAGTGCTCGTACAACGGGTGCTCCAGTCGAGGCAGTCAAGGCTAGCCGCTCGCGCTTGCACAGCCTTCGAGTTAGTCCATGCCAAGGTGAGACGACAAAGCCGTAAAAGTAGGTTTAAAAACGTGTGATGAAAATCACGTGTTTTTAAGTATGCAGATTTCTGAGCTTGATGGAGTTCTAGCAATGCACATGGTCAAACGGGTGTTTTCGGGATACTTACTGACCTACCTCGCAGGCACATTGCCAGGATTTTGTTTTGGGGGGGGGGGGGGGGGGGGGGCGCCCATGACAAAATTCTGTATGAGGGGGAGGGGGAGGGGAGGTCCCAGCAAAACGGAAGATTTCGGGGGGGGGGGGGGCACTGGTCCATTATCCCCTATCACTACGTCTTGGTTGAATATATTTTTGCAGGGTACAGATGGCCAGACGACCTGCCGGTGACATCATTCAGTTATGACGATGGACATCAATGTGACTGACTGACAGCCATGGACGGGACGCAGCGATGCACGATCTGGGTAGCGGCCCTGGTCCTCCTGGCCAGCGTTCACTCCGGCACCGACATCGTCGAGTTCCAGGTAGAGGACGGACCGCTGCAGAACGTCATTTACCTCAACATTGACGGCGGCGTGGTCGTGGTGGGCGGCCGCAACGCCCTCTACAAGCTGTCCCCAGACCTTGATCTGGAGGCCAAGGAGTCCACAGGACCCCGTCCTGATAATCCCCAGTGCACCCCGGACCCTTTAGAGTGCGCTCAGGGCAGAACTTTAACGGACAATGACAACCAGGTACTCCTGCAGCTTGGTCCTGCACATCCCCTTGTGCTCGCTTGTGGGACCATCTGGCAGGGCATCTGCTCGTTCCATCATGTACGAAGAAACTTAACCCTCTCGAGAACAATGGATAAAAAATTGTACGTCAACTACGTTGCCTCTCGTGTCAGCACGGTGGCATTTTTCCAGGGGGCCACCCTGTTCGCCGCGTCTACCTACGACGGCCGCCCGCTCGACTACCACCCATTCTCGGTGTCGGCACGCGACCTGAACTCAAACGGTTCCTTCAAGCTACACTCGTCGGACGATTCCTCGGCCTCCTTCGTCAATGTGGACCGGACGCTGAAGAAATCCTACAAGGTGCGCTACGTGTACGCCATGAGCCACGACGGATTCGCCTACTTCGTCACGGTGCAGAACGCCGGCCTGGCTCTGGAACTGTTCGAGACGCGAATAGCGCGGGTCTGCCTGGATGACCCTACCTTCCTGACGTACACCGAGCTGCCCGTCCGCTGTGCCAAAGGAGAGTCCAGGTTCCCGATCGCCCAGGCGGCGTCCGCCGGACCAGAGTCCCAAGGGGGCGACCGCCTGCTACTGGTGGCCTTCGGCAGGCCCTCCGGGGGCCGGATGCAGGAGAACGACGCCAGCGCCGGCTCGGCCGTCTGCTCTTTCAGGATGCACGACGTCGAGGAGGCCTTTGACAAGGCCGTCGACGACTGCAACGCCGCCAAGCCGACGTCCAAGGTGTCGCATCTCTTCCACACGCCCGGCACACCCCAGGACTGTACGCGCTACGTAAGTTCAGTGTTTTTTTCCTCATGTAAGCGAACTAAAAATTCGAATAAAAACAACAACAACAAACAAACAATGAAGGCGAAGGATGGAAAGGATTACAACACTAGTCGTCCCGAGCATCTTCTTATCGCTCCTCAGTCAACGAGATTTGGACATTTATCGGTAAGAGCGCCGAAGTACGAAGCGCGTGAACGTAGTGAAATAAAACAGGAAGGAGCAAGGAGAGACTTGAATGATGTGATGTATGAGCTCAGAGACCATGAGGAAGTGATGCTCATTGTCTAAGCGCACTTCGCCTTTCTCCAGTTAATAGTAAGTATTTTGAGCTTCATCATTCACTAGAACCCTTCCTTTCGTCTCAGAAGGCCCCTTTTTAAATGCCTTACCAAATTCCGTGACACGCGTCATTCTTTTGATATATATTTAGCTCGGTCACGGCTGACTTCGTCGTCGAGTTACGCACTGGCACTGGAGTGAACAATTGAAGACTTAATATCGTATTTTTCGACTAGGATCCATGGGGTAAGAAGGAGGATGACAAGGACTTATGCACACCCGGCGTGAACAATTACATCGAAGGGAAGACGTCCCTCTCAGGAACCCAGGTGGTGCACCTTCAGGACAGGCTGGTTACGTCGGTGACCGCCCTGCAACAGAACATGAGCGACGTCGCCTGGATTGGGGACAACAAGGGCTTCCTGTACAAGGTACGTGAACCAACTTCAACGTCCTTCGGCGGTGGCCAAACTTGTTAGGATCGCGAGTGTAGCGACCCAAAGGGCCAAACGAAAGAGGGGGTCTCAAACAAAGTGTATCATGATGAAACTTGTTCAAGTTAATCTGCGCCAAGGAGTCCGGGCATCCAAAGCTTACTTGGCAAAAGATCACCCATTTAGTTTCAGTTTCAGTTTTTATTTTTTCCAAGGGGAGACGGGAGGGAACCTTAATGTTTGAGGCGATAGAAGTCGCCTGACAGGAGCTCCTGCCTTTTATACTGATCATTTGAACGGAGTCGTTTGGTCAGTGACCGTCTCGGCCGTGAACGATGTTACAAATATAGTGCTGCTTTCGCACCAATATTGTTCTCCAATATTGTTGCTAAACATTCCAAGGAGTGTATCTCTTGCTAAGAAGTAACGGTACGAACAGTAGTTATTTGTGACAGTCTATAAAGCAGCATCTCCATACGCTCCCAGCTGCCATGTTCTCGCTTCCCCGCAAAGACTGCCCCACTTTGCGCATACGCGTATCCATGGCAACTGAATCGTCTCTTGCGAAAAAAAGAAACATATATTTTAAAGAATACAAAAAGAAAAGAAAACAGAATGAACCCTTTTTTGTTTTTGGAAACGTTTTTACCAGGTTGTACGTGACTATTTTCATCCCAGTTGAACCAAAAAGAAAATATAAACGCTTCCAAAGCACGTTCCAAAGAATGAAAGGGGGAAGGACGCCGGGCCAACGGTTAAAAATCTTATGGCCAATGCATCAACGATGACCACGCCCGAGTCAGCGCTGGCTTCCACGACGTGCTGGAACGGAGGCTGCGGTAGTTATAAAGTCAGCTCCCAGGGGGCGCGTGCTCTATCTATGCTTCAAAGTGACAACACGAGCTCTCGCTAGCAGAGCGAAGCTGTAGTTTACGTTCTACTAAAAGTCCATAGTCTATCATGTTTAAAAATACACATAGTGATAAAAAATCACTTTTTCCTAGCAACAGTAATTTAAATCAAAATAATCGGATATAAATAAAATAAATCTGATTTATTTCATTCTTTTTCACACTTCTCTTAATCCGTAGCAGTTATAGGTTCTCTTTGACGTCACAATACACCATGGCGTCGCGTTACGCAATAACGTCACCGTGATTTCACCTGACGTCACGTAACACCATGACGACATCATGGTGTTATATGGCGTTAAGTGACTTCATAACGTCGTTACATCAGGTCAGACGACACCCTTAACTCAGGTGACTTCACAGTTTCACCTGAGGTTAAGGTGCCTCGTGACATCACATGACATTGACGGCATTTTTATATAATCACAAAACCCTCGAACTCTGCTCTTCAGGGGCCATTTTTACTCTGCCCAGAAAAGGGGGAGCGCGGTGATTACCTAGAAAGTTTGCACACTTCGAACGCCTTTGGAGATGCTAAATGCGTTGCCAGTTTTCTTCATTAATTGCTTTTCGAGAGCCGAGCGCAGCTCTTAGGCGCCCGTTTCCGGCTTGAGCGGCGTCGCCGTCAGCGTCGGCGTAACCGCAAGGTCACGTGACCCCCCCCCCCCCCCCCCCGAGGTCATGGGACCCCCCTGAGGTCACGTGACCTCCGTGACGTCAGAGGCGTCACGTGACCTCACGGGGGCCACGTGGACACCGTGGCGGAGTAGCAGGCTGGATGAGGAGGGAGGAGGGGTATACCCTCCCCCCAGTACCCTTCCCTCCTCCTCCTTAAGAACTGCGCCCTAATTCAGCGTTACATGGAATTGTAAACGGCTTTCATTTTTTTTTGTATTTTTCATACGAAAAGTAATGTCGTAGAAGTCAAATAATTGTGTTTGGTTATTGAATATTTTTCAACATATCGTTGACTATTTTCAACGTGCTATTTTTTTAAGTATCCCGCCGAACGGACGGAAAAACCCGAGCATGCGCCCGTGTTGCGTGCCTGACCCCTACTCTTGAATCCTTTAAAATGCAGGGTAAAGGCATATCAAGCGCCCACAAACTAGCGAGCCCCCCGACCTAACCCGTACGAAAATGTCAGATACAAGCCGGAATGAAAAATGTCCGTTCCGCCTGGATCTGAAATTGGGGCACCAGTTTTTACCCCGTTTGGAACCGCGCATTTCCAAACAGGATACAAACTGGTGCTCCAATTTCGGATCCAGGTGGAACCGGCTGGTTCAAGTGGTTCTGCAGAGCCACTGGTACCGCGCGGTACACCGATATACAAGCCAACGCCCCAATTTCAGACCCAGGTGGTTTGCCGCTAGGATTCCCGGTGCGCTCACCACTGGACCCTACAAAAGTATTTCGCTCGATGCCGCGAGCAAGCGAGAGATCGTCGCGATTTCAGACCCATGCGGAACAGCCTGGGTCTGAAATCGGGATGATCTCTCGCTTTTTGCGGCTAAGGGCATCGCGCGAAATACTTTTGTATACAGTCCAGTGCTGAGCCCAGCGGGAATTTTGGCGGCGCACATGGTCGTCCAGGCGTCGTCACCAAGCACGGAGCACAGAACACACACACAGCACGCACAAGCACAGTATCCAGTGTTCAGCGCATCGGGAAGATCCGGCGGGCTAGCGGTATCCAAGTTGTCCAAGTATTGTCACCAAGCACACCAGCGCGAAGCGCATATACAGGGTGCCACAAACTAAAAATTTAGTGGGTCCGGACATTTCGTCGAACACCGTTTCATCGAACGCCTTTTCATCGAACGCTGTTACAGCCTGCAATATTTTTGCAATTTATTCTGATTTTTACACACAACGTCATCTAATTCTCCCTTTTTTTAAATCACAGTATGCAGTGACGAGATAAGTTCCATTGTGAACATGTCCTGCTTCGAGAAGAAAGCCTCCATGAAACAATGACCCCTCTCCATGTCACATGAAACAATTAAAAATGAGACAAAAAAAAAAAGTAGTGTTTTATTGTTTGACAGCATGTACCTGTAACCTTGGGTTATGTGAGGATCCGAAAATGGTAAACGAAATTAACAAGCATTTTATAAATATCGGCGGAAGTATGGTATCGCAAGGCAATACAAACGCCGACGTGATGACAATGACGAAGATAACAAATTCAATAATGTACTTTCCGACAGTAATGTATGAAATAGAAGCGCTCATTGATAAAATAAAGAAAGACGTAGCAGCGGGTGACGACGGGTTGAAGGCTCAACCACTCAAGTATGTAGCTTGAATTATTAGCCCTATACTATCATACCTCGTGAATAGCATGTTAGAAAGTGGTATTTTCCCGACTGATTTGAAGCTGGCTAAAGTTACTCCTATTTACAAGGACGGTAGTAAAAAAAGTATCGAAAATTACGGGCCCATTTCTGTACCAACGATATTCTCTAAAATATTTGAAGGCGTAATAAAAAACCGCCTAGAAAGTTTTTTCACAAAGCATAGTGTAATCTCCACCGCCCCAATACGGGTTCCAAAAGGAAAAATCTACAGAGCAAGCTCTTCTCGACATTAAGGAGAAATTGGTTGCAAATATTGAAGACAAGTTACTTACAGTCGGACTGTTTTTGGATTTGAGGAAAGCGTTCGACACCGTTCAGCATCCTATTTTACTCAACAAACTAGAATATTACGGCATCCGTGGGGTCGCGCTCGCATTACTAAAAAGCTATTTAACAAATCGGCAACAATACGTAAAAATTGACAATCTAGAATCATATAAGGAAAAAACACGTCATGGTGTCCCACAGGGTTCCATATTAGGCCCTTTACTTTTCCTAGTCTATATAAACGATATCGTAAGCATTGCTGGTTCCCCGGAGTTAATGATGTATGCAGACGGCACTAATATTTGTTTTAGTGAAGCAACTCGAGAATGCCTGGAGGAGAGGGCAAACGCCTATCTTGTAAAGCTTTCAAAATGGCTGAGTTCCAATGGGCTACAATTAAACACAAGCAAAACAATATATGTGATCTTTAATTCATTTTTTGACACGCGTGTCCCAACCAGACTGTTTAAAAAAAAAAACTTTTTTTTCTTTTCAGGGGCCCTTTAAGATTACGTTTGAAGGGGATTTAATAGATCAAGTAACTGAGCAAAAATTTCTGGGTGTGTGGTTTAGCCAAGAGCTAAAATGGAATACACATGTAAATAAACTAAAGTCAGAATTATCACGAGTCCTTGGCTGTATTTATAGAGTGGCAAGCCTTGTGCCGAGGTGGTTAGTAGAAACATTGTATTACTCTTTATATTTTTCCAAAATGTGTTACGGGATTCTTATATGGGGCACAACTACAGCATCTGATTACTATAAATTTCTAATCCTACAAAAAAAGTTCTACGTATATACGAAAACTATGGGGGAGAATAAGAGAACTTCGGACGGAACCATTTTTTAATAAATACAAGATCTTAAAGGCAAATCAAGTATATTACTTCAAATTATTTCAATTAATTTATCTAAAAAGATTATACGCCACCCTAGTCGCAACAGAAGAACTGTACCCGTTCCGTCATGTTAAATGGCGGGAACCCTATACAAGAACAAATTACGGAAGGCAGAGTATACACTATCAAACAATTAGTCTATTTAAATAACATGCTTAGTAAAACATATAAAATAGCGCAACAAAAAGACAAGGACAAGAAGTATACAGGACAGGCGCTTGTCCTGTATGCTTCTTGTCCTTGTCTTTTTGTTGCGCTATTTTATATGTTTTACTAAGATGAACCAACTAGCCCAACAACGTACCCTACTAAAATAACATGCCCTCTATGAACTATGCAAAGTCGTTCCCTTTGTTTAAAAAAAGAATGTAAAGCACTGTAAAGCACTGCTGGTAGGCAGCGATATAAAATGTATATAAAATTTATAAAATTTATCTCAGCTTCCTATTCACAATAAAGTGTTGTATTATACTTTATACCAGTGGTCTCAAACTCATTTGAGTGTGCGGGCCAGATAGCTCACATTGGAAAGGTCGAGGGCCAAAGTAAGAGGGGGGAAGGGGTCTAAAGATTCTAAAGAGAAGCGCTATGCTTTTTTGTGAACTCACAGTGCCATCTTTAGATTTTATTTGTCTTAAACATGTTAAATTGACCTGGGACTGGGGTACAGAAGTAACATTAAAACGTAGAAGGGACAGAAAATAGACAGGACGAACTCTTCTCTACCCCAGTCTGAAGGTTAATTCAACATCGTTAATATTCACCAGCTCGTCTGCACACTTACGATTTTTTTTATTTGTCTATAGGACCACTTTGGGTCCTGACCTGATATGAAGAAAATTTAAAATGACACCACGCCGCCAACGCGCTGTCATATTTAATAGAACAAGAGAGCAAATATACTGTCTCTCCCGTTGCTCAATTCCCTCAGGAATTAACCAAGCTAAATATCTGTATAACAAAAAAAAAAAAAAGAAAATCGGTTAATTTGACTTTTTTTTTTTTTGCTTTCATGAAGGTTTTTTTGACAACACTGAACAAATACTTGTCTCTTAATGGTGATAATTTTTAAGGCGAGAATAGCAAGCTGGTAGTTGGCAATTGCTCCAGCTTATCGAGAGTTCGCATAATTGCACATTACAAAAAACTGGGAAGCGAAAGATAGAGCGAAACAAACAATGTGAATATGTTAAAACAGCACACTACTTTTCGAGCGAAAACGAATCGGCGAGAAGAGATCACTATGACGTATGTTACTTCAGCGCATGAGACATTAACCGGGACTCGAAGCCGGTTGCCTGCGGGCCGCGTCTGAGTCGTGGGCCGCATGCGGCCCGCGGGCCGCGTGTTTGAGACCCCTGCTTTATACCTTCAAAATTCATCCTTGTTTTATTTTATGTGCATGACTCGCCTTGTTGGGTGTACACTGTTCAGTTTCTTTAAAGTGAGCGATAATGATGTTTGTTATTTGTCTGTTCCTTAGATGACTTGTTTTTTCTTTCATGTGGATTATAGTCTGTATTATTGTTTTTTGCATTCAGTACGCATTTTTATCCTTATATGCATGGCTTTTATTGTTACATTTGTGTTATGTATGTGTGCTTCAGTTCTGTAAACGTTTTTTTTTTTATCCTGCTGTATTATTTTGTTAGATGAAATGCATTTTCATGTTATTTTTTTTTATGTGTGGACTGTAAGGGACCAGTGCCACGTCAGGCTTTTTTAGCCTTTTGCACTGGCCCTTCTTTCGGGCTCTGCCCGAAGGAAAACAAAGAAAGAAAGAAAAAAAGAAAGAGTACACCCAGGGCTTTACTACTGTCTGGTGCGGGTTGGCCTTCCTAAGAAAGCGTCCTGAAGATGATTCATAGGCAAAAGGGTCGGTAATAAAGTTGACAGTGAAGGGGAGGTGGTTCCAGTCCAGGTGTAGCCCGAAACCATGTTGGCTGACACTTTGTGCAGCTTTTGACTCAGTAGAGTTTGAAAACTAAAAAAAAAAAAAAGCAGAAACGTTCAATCTGAGCATAAAGCTGATAATCAGAGTATCATTATATTTTATTTCGTGTGCTCTCCTGGCAGAGTATTGTTTTATTATAAGCGTGCTGCCCTGGCAGTTAAATGCTTTTCGTGAATAAACCTTCAACTAAGCGTAAGTGTGCAAATGAGCTGGTGTGAATGGCACATTACCGAAACCCTCGGACAGCCGGTAAAAAAACGACGCAGACATTCAAAAGTGTTTTAAGTGTCGGTCCTTTACCTCCAGTGTCATGTTTTCTGACAGGTGCATGAGTAAAACTTTTCAGTAAGTCGCATACCCATTTGTTTTTCTACCAATGGTTTTTATTTCTAGTAATTTGGCTCCACCCTAAAGACAGTTTCACAAGTGACTACCTTAGTCTTAACAAATGTAAGGTAAAACATCTATAAAGCACTGTTATGCCCCAAAACTCGATACAGAGAAATTCGATGAAACGGCCCTTAGCGATTCGATGAAACGGCGTTCGATGAAATGGCGTTCGATGAAATGTCCATTCATTCGATGAAACGGCGTTCGATGAAACGGCGTTCGATGAAATGTCCGCTACTCAAATTTTAGTCTTTTTTACCGCTAAAATAAACTAGGCATCGCCGAACGCTCATTCTCCGCCCAAAGGTAGCGTTAGAGGTCACAACCAGATGCCACAGTTTCAGCCCGACCCGATACCTTCTTCAAAAGTTATAAGTGATTTCCTGAAAATTTCATTGGGAAAATGGCGGCCGACGGAGTTTTCGAATACATGCAAGCTCTATGAAACCAGAAATCGAAAACGGCCAGAAATGGGCCCCATTTTCCAATTGAAAGTTTCAGAAAATGACATAACTAAGTTATCGGATCGGGCTGAAACTTTTGCATCTGGTTGTGACCTCTAGCGCTACCTTTGGGCGGAGAATGAGCGTTCGGCGATGCCTAGTTTATTTTTTTGCGGTGAAAAAAACCCTGTAAATTCATTTTTGTGACACCCTGTAGATGCCGAGCAAACGTGCAATGGGTCGGCAGCTTGATACAATATGAAGATTCAAAGCCGAGGTCTGTGGATATCCATCCAGGGCAACGATAAGCGCGTCAGTATCTGTGCGCCCGCAACGCGAACGTCGCTGTTGGGTGAACGCCGGCCGACAGTTCGACGAGAGTGGAGAAGAACCGAGCTCTCGGAGCGCTGATGCCGATCGACTGCAACAAAAAAGTGAGCCGCGGAGAACGCCCGCTCGCAGCGCCTGTCCCTTACACGTGACCTGCGAGAGATGACCGCGAGGAAGAGTGCGGGAGTTCCCCGCCGAACCCCCCCCCCCTCCTCCTCCTCCTCCTTGAGTTACGCTGGCTGGGAGCAGACCCTACTGGAACGAACGGGAACGGACCGGACGCACCCATCACCGCGCGGTTCCAGTGCGTTGCGTCTCGCTGGAACCGACTGGTTACACCCAGAACCAGGGCAGGCCCTAGGGGTGCCCTGGTTCTGGGGGTCGCCGCTGCTCCCCCTTTAATTTTTTTCAGGGGGTATTTTTTGCCGTTTGACACCACGCTATATATGCTCGATCGCAATTCATTTCTTAAATGCAGTTCTCGTCCGACAAAACGCTCGTGTTGGGCCACTACCCACATGTTTACTAACAACGTGATGTCGTACCTAGCAGATAGGGGCGTATAAAAGAAACGAAAAAAAGCGGGGGGTGCACCACCGCCGGAGTTCGCCCAGGGCGCTTGATGGTGTAGGGCCGGCCCTGCCCAGAAACGCGCGGTAGCAGATCGAATCCGCGTGGATCTGAACTGTCCACATGTTTGGAACCGCGCGGCTCCGCACAGATCTGAACTGGAACCGCTCCGATCTGACATTTTCGTACGGGAATCGACGGGTGCTCCGCGCCAGCTGCACTTCAAAGAAAAGCTGGTAGGTAGCACGTATACCTACGTATATTTGGCACTGTGTGTTTAAATGTCAGGGGCGGATCCAGGTTTTGTTTAAGGGGGGGGTCCAGCAAGGACCCGGGAAAGGGGGGGGGGGGGGATAGACCCATCATTCGACCGCGGAAGCCGGGCATCACTCCCTGCTCCCTCTCCCCCCCCCCTCTCCTCCTACTTCCCTGAGAAACGGACCGTCGTCTTTTTCACTGGTGTCCGGAGAGCTTAGCTGGCTGGCTAAAAAAAAAAAAAAAAAGGCGGGGGGGGGGGGGGGGGGGGGTCCGGACCCCAGGACCCCCCCCCCTGGATCCGCCCCTGAATGTGTATTCTGTACCTGTTTTCATGAACATGATCATCATCGTTTAGGCCACACCGTGCGAAGCGCACGTTTGGTGAAACTTCATGCATGTGGGGAAACTTTCAACTATGGAAGTTTAGGATGGAGCCTTATATATATATAGAGAGAGAGAGAGAATTTGGCCATTCACGGGGAGGTGTAGGAGGCAAATGAGGAGGCGCCATTTTTCCGAAAGGGGGCTGGGCGTGTTCCAGGGCGTCTTCATGAATTTGAATGTGGCCAACCAGAAACCTCGAATAATAAATACCGTAACGGTGGCCGCGAGAAAAAAAAAAAAAAAAATGAGTGGGAGTAACTTTCGGTGACTGAAAGTATGGTGCGCGTAATGTTTCGATCACGGTCATGCATGCTCGATTTGTGAGATGTGCTTTGCGGTCTATTTTCAGTATAAACTGGAAGGGTCAGCCTCGACCTTGCTGTATTCCACCGACTTGAGCGGGGGCATCGAAACGGCCATCGAGAAGTCCACAGCCGTGGATCCAAACGGAACCTACGCATATTTTCTGACGGGCAAGAAGGTCCGTGCACTCCATTCAAATCTTTCATTATCTGTATTTTCTTTAGGAATTGAGCTTTTTATTTTACAGAGAGCATGTTCCCCAAAACAATATTTAAAAAAAGCTTTTTTTTTTTCACCACTAAAAATAGACGACGCATTTGCCCAACGCTGAGCCTCTTTCGAAATGTAGCGCTCACGGTCCCAACCAGTTGCCATCGTTTCAGAACTAACCGTTATCTTATTCAAAAGCTATAAGCGTTTTTCTTTTTTGAAACCTTTTATGAAAAAGTGGGACCCGTTTTTGGTTTGCTGCCATTCAGCACCATGTATTCGAGGGCTCCGTCGGCTGCCATTTTGGCACTGAAAGATAAAACAAAGATCACTTAAAACTAATAATAATATAACGGTTAGTCCTGAAACTTTGGCATCCGGTTCGGGCCGCTAGCGTTCCTTTTGGGTGAAGAATTAACGTTCAACAATGCGTACGTTATTTTTGCGTAAAAAAAAAGAACGCTAAAAAATGTTTTTTCCGAGTTCATACTTGTAGATAATGGTGCTCATCCCTTGATATATATATATATATATATATATATATATATATATATATATATATATATATATATATATATATATATATATATATATATACAGGGTGTTTCAGAAAACGCAGGCCAAATCGCTCCTGCAAAAACTACTTATCACAACAAAAAAAGGCTTGTGGCGTTTTGGTCCAGGGCCAGGGGCCCATTTAAGAAAATGATTAAAGTCCCGGATAATTAACTTGCTAATTATTTTTGCGTAATTAACTTTTTTAATATTGTGTTTAAGGGCATGGTTTAAATTAGAAAATTGCTCAGCATCATCGAAAACCACTAAATCAACAAATTGCAGAACGATAGAAGGCACGCGAAGCTTTTTACGGCTTTCTGAAAAACCGCACAAATTCCACGCGTGTTTAAGTTTCGGTTTGTTATCGGAGCCCATCTCCGCCCCGACGGCACCGCGCCCCGCGAAAAGATAGTACAACCAACCTTTGCTGCGCTGCCATTGCGCGACGCAGCAGAGTCTGGTTGCACTATCTCTACACGCGGTGCGGTGCTGCCGGGGCCGAGATGCGCTCCGATAACAAACCGAAACTTAAAAACCCGTCGAATTTGTGCGGTTTTTCAGAAGGTCGTAAAATTCTTCGCGTGCCTTCTATCGTTCTGCAATTTGTTGGTCTAGTGGTTTTCGATGATGCTGAGCAATTTTCTAATTTAAACCATGCCCTTAAACACAATATTAAAAAGTTAATTAGGCAAAAATAATTAACAAGTTAATTATCCCGGACTTTAATCATTTTCTTAAATGGGCCCCTGGCCTAGGACCACAACGCCACAGGCCTTTTTTCGTCGCGATGAGTAGTTTTCGCAGGAGCGATTTGGCCTGCGTTCTCTGAAACAGCCTGTATATATATGGATGTTTTAATCTCAAATCGGGCAGGCTAAAAGGGTCTAATTTTTAATTTTCACGAAAAAAATATATGTTTTGGGGGAATTTCTCAAATGAAGGAGGGCGAGAACCGCATCTTTCCCAGATGTTTTGTTCTCGAGTTACGAGCCGTAGAAGCCGTAGTGGCAGAAACTAGTGTTTTTGCCTGCCGTCGCAGGTCGCGTGTTTCACACCCTCTGCTGGCGCCCAGTGCTTTTTCTACACCCTTTTAACTTTTCCCCCTCATTTAATAGGTACTATAAAGCACCCTGGTCGCATTCAAATATTTTTAGGAATTGACTGTTTTCTAAAAACATGTCAAACTCGTCACTCCGGTCGCTTTTTGGTCAAATTTGACAGGTCATTACTTTGTCTGTACTTAAGGTAAATTTTCTTCTTTTGGCTCTACAGAAAGCCCAAAGCAAGTCCATTATAGATATAATAATATCATTATGATATGTCGACTAGCCGCTCCGTTACCTTCACGTAAACGTTGTAAGAAATAACAAATGTTGAAAGTTTGATGTCGATTTCCTCAAAAACCCCATTTTTGGAAATTTTTATTTTTTAAATTATTTTAGACATATTAGTCGACTACAAGAAAAAAACGTCTAGAAATGTAATATTTTGGTTGGGTGTCCTCCGTTTGTGCCGCAATCGCGTGAAATGTGTGAACATTTGATATTTTTCACGTTTACGTGAAGGTAGCGGAGTGGCTACTCGACAGATCATAATGATATTACTATATCTATACTAGGCATGCTTAGGGCTTTCTATAGAGCTAAAGAAATAAAATGTACCTTAAGTACAGACAAAGTAATGATGTGTCAAATTTGACCAAAAATCGACCTGAGTAACGAGTTTGAAATTTTTTTAGAAAAAAATAAAATTATTAGAAATATTTGAATACGTCAAGGTATATTTATAGTATTTATTAAATGAGGGGGAAAAGTTAAAAAGGTTTAGGAAAAACACTAGCGCCAGAAGAGGGTGTCAAACACGCGACCTGCGACGGCAGGCAAAAACACTAGTTTCTGCCTCTGCGGCTTCTACGCTTCGTAACTGAAGAACAAAAAATCTGGGGAACATGCGGTTTGCGCCCTCCTTTATTTGAGAGTCCCCAAAACACATATTTTTTTCGTGAAAATTAAAAATTAGATCCTTTTAGTCTGCCCGATTGGAGATGAAACCTCCCATATCGGGTAGGCTGAAAAAGTCCAGTTTTTAATTTTTACGAAAAAAATATATGTTTTGGGGGTATTTCTCAAATGAAGGAGGGCGCAAACTGCCTGTTCCCCAGATTTTTTGTTCTCGAGTTACGAGCCGTAGAAGCCGAAGTGGCAGAAGCTAGTGTTTTTGCCTGCCGTCGCAGGTCGCGTGTTTGACACCCTCTGGTGGCGCTAGTGTTTTTTCTACACCCTTTTCACTTTCCTCCCTCGTTTAATAGGTACTATAAAAATACATTCACATATTCAAATATCTCTAGTAGTTTGATTGTTTTCTAAACAAAATGTCAAACTCGTCACTCAGGTCGATTTTTGGTCAACTTTGACAGGTCATTACTTTGTCTGTAATTAAGGTACATTTAATTTCTTTGGCTCTATAGACCTTTTCTGCAAGTGCGTCGCCATCTTGAATTGACGTCACTTCCAGTATGGGCGAAAACATTGTTTTGCCTTTGCCACGCCAATAGAAGGCATTTATGATATAAGCGTAAACGTCACACTTTGTCGTTTTGCCTCCCCTTTATTTTTTTACAATTTGCAGGTTAAAACGTTGGATTATTTTTTCGTCGCCCATACCGGATACGCCTATTAGGTGGCTGGAGACGAGAGTACACAGAAAAGGTCTATAGAAAGCCCTAAGCATGCCTAGTGTAGATATGGTAATATCATTATGATCTCCTGAGTAGCCACTCCGCTACCTTCACGTAAGCGTTGTGAAAAATAACAAATGTTCACACATTTCACGTGGTTGCGGCTCAAATAGAGGACGTACAACCAAAATATTACATTTCTAGACTGTTGTTTCTTGTAGTCGACTAATATGTCAAAAAGAATTTAAAAAATAAAAATTTACAAAAATGGGTTTTTTGAGTGAATCAATCTCAAACTTTCAACATTTGTTATTTCTTACAACGTTTACGTGAAGGTAGCGGAGCGGCTAGTCCACAGATAATAATGATATTATTATATCTATAATGGACTTTCTTTTGGCTTTCTGTAGAGCCAAAGAAAGAACATTTACCTTATGTACAAAGTAATGACCTGTCAAAGTTAACCAAAAAGGGACCAGAGTGACGAGTTTGACATGTTTTTTAGAGAACAATCAAATTCCTAAAAATATTTGTATGCGTCAAGGTATCTTTATAATACCTATTAAATGATGGGAAAAAGTTAAAAGGGTGTAGAAAAATCACTAGCGCCAGCAGAGGGTGTCAAACACGCGACCTGCGACGGCAGGCAAAAACACTAGTTTCTGCCACTACGGCTTCTACGGCTCGTAACTCGAGAACAAAAAATCTGGGGAACATGCGGTTTGCGCCCTCCTTCATTTGAGAAATTCCCCCAAAACATATATTTGTTTCGTGAAAATTAAAAATTAGACCCTTTTAGCCTGCCCGATTTGAGATGAAAACACCCATATATAACAGGCATGGTGGCGGGAAGCCGAAGGCGTGGGTATATAACTGAGAAGCAAAAACCCTTAGTGAACACAGCAACAACGGACGATTTACTCTTCGACGTTTCGGCCAGAGTCCAGCTTTCGTCAGGAAGAGGAGTCCGGCCTTCGTCAGGAAGAAATCGCTCGAAATTGCCACAAATATTGTTCTTTGTCGCAGTCACTTATAGCCACAAGAAAAGAAACATACACTGATACGGACTCTGCATGTTGTATCATGAAGATACATGTAGCCGAAAATCCGTACATCTTACAACTGGCAATTTACGGGAAACTTTGGTGGCCTGTCTTCAATATATGCGTTCTGAATCTGCGGCCAAATTGGTGTTGGAAGGATTTGTTTCGCGAAGTTCATCATCACAAACGATTTTTAAACCGAGTGGCGCTCTTTTTTCAGGTGGTGCGTTTTCCGGTGGGCTCGTGTTCTATCTACGAGAGGTGCTCGGTCTGCATGAACAGCACTCGAGACCCGCTTGTGTGCGGCTGGTGTGGCTCTCAGTGCGCCCACTTTGGCGAGTGCACTCCCAGTACAGCTTTCGACTTGCAACGCTGTCCCATCCTCCTGAAAAAGGCGAGTTGCATATGCTACAGTGCTGGCAGAGCGATCCGGCTTGAGCAAATTATGTCCGTATTCGTATAAATAATCCTTCGCGATTTTTACAGCGGAGTTATTAAGGGCCTGTTTTCCCAGCTTCGTGTCCGTCACCAAATAAATGTTGACACAAAACTCTGGACAGCTACCGCCATCTATAGGCGACGGCGGCAACCAGACAACCGGTTTGCCGGTTATCTGGTTAACGCCATCGCTCATAGATGGCAACCTTTTCAGTCTTTCCACTCTAGTTTTCACCACAGTATATACGCTGAATTTCTCTCGATGGTCGTCCTAGAAGTCGCTTTCGAGGAAGACGTCCTCTAGGCGTCGTCCTTGAGGGCGTCTTAGAAGTCATCCTTGAGGTCGTCCTTGAGGTCGTCTTTGAGGTCGTCCGAGAGGTTGTCCTTAAGGTCGTCCTAGAAGTCATCCTTGAGGTCATCCTAGACGCCGTCCTCGAGGTCGTCCTAGAAGTTGTCATTTAGGTCGTCCTAGACGTTGTTCTCGACGTTGTCCTAGAAGTTGTCCTTGAGGTCGTCCATATACATAGTCCTTGAGGTCGACTTAGACATATTCTCTGAGGTCGTTCTAGGCGTCGCCTTTGAGGTCGTCCTCTAGACATCGTCCTCAAAGTCATCCTAGAAGTTGTCTTTGATGTTGTCTTAGACTTCGTCCTTGAGGTCGCCCTAAACGTTGTCCTCTAGGCGTCGTCCTTGAGGTCGTCCAAGAAGTTGTCCTTGATGTTGTCCCACCATAGTACAGCTTCGCTGGTCTTCCTTCTTCATCAGAGCGGAAAGGCTGAAAGTTTTTTGTTTCAATTTTTTTCTTTGAAATGTTTTTGGGGAATTGTGAACGATGATGGTTGTAAAAAAGAGGAAAATTGCTTGGTAGCATTCAACGAGCTTGGTATACAAAAGGCTACTCCAGAAGGTGATCGAAATTCTTGATGCCTCAGTGAATCGATAGTCCAGATGAAGGTTCTCAAAACGCCGTATTCGTCTCCGCAGGTGTCGCCGACCAAAGGCCCCAGCTCCGGAGGCACGCTCCTTACCCTGGAGGGCGACAACTTCGGCTCCCCCGCGCACAAACCTGACAGCTCCATCCAGATCACCGTGGGCAAAAAGCCCTGTGCACTGGTCCACTGGAATTACACCTTGTCAGTAGCGCCTCTCATCTGAGTCTTAGCGTGCGCAATGGTCCACGAAACTGGCTTTATCGGGCAGCAAACAGCAGCCTGGAGAAATTATCATGCGTGCAAACTGAAGAAGTGCATGCTATCATTTCCTGTGGGCATTCCAAAGATCATCGAAATTGGAAGGCGTTGGCAAATCAAGCAAGTAGGAGTCGTAGCCTATACATTATAAATGAGCTTGTCTAGTGCACTTGACGAACCAGCAACATCTCTATATCTGGAAAGGGTATGTCAGCATAGCAACTGATGGCAAATCTCGCTTTTTATGAGCATAACGTCTGGCATGACTTACTGTAAGCCCTTAAAGATTGCGCAGGGAATTTTATAAGTAACGTTTATGATAACAGTTCTTGCCATTTCATTAAAACAAAGTTTATTTTCAAAGGCTCCCATCTACTAGAGCTTTCTTGAGTGCATTTCATATGGTATATTCCTACATATAATGATAACCAGAGACCAAGAACTGTTTCGGTCAAAACTTGTGATGCTGGCCTCAAGTTGTAGCAATGTTAAATAGTTGTTCCTTCTGAAACATCTTCGAACACAACATTAACGGGCCAGAAAAGTATGAGTAATGGTCGTAGTCGGTTGTGATAGGAACAACTTAAAAATAAACCTTCTAGTAGCCTTAAATTGGCATTCGACCTTTCGCTAAGCGATGTGTTTCAGGACCCAGAGAACATTAAGTCTCTCGGCTTAACGTGCTCTGACCTCGTACAACTTCAGTCGCTTAGAACCACCATAAAGAGGTTCAATCGTAGTGTATGTGCTATAATTTCTGAATTTGTTTTGCTGTATGTGTAGGTTGTGACGTGTTTTAAAGCGGTAGCCTTAAAGCCCAACCACGCCCAAGGTCACGTAACGCCTGTGGCTGAAGTCCTGTCGCATAAGTTCCTGTCACGTAAGCTCGTAAGCGCCAGTCGTTGTTGCGCTAGTTACGTAAGCTCCGTTCGCATAAACTAGTAGCGCCGGTAGCCAAAGCTTACGTGACTTTACGTCTTTGACGTTGTCGTCGACGTCGTCCTAGAGGTAATCCTTGAGGTCGTCCTAGACGCCATATTTGAGGTCGTCCTAGACGTTGTTGACATTGACCTATAAGACGTCCTAGACGTCGTCCGAGACATCATCCCTGAGGTCGTCCTCGACGTTGTCCTACACGCCGTCCTTGACGTTGTGTTCGATGTCGTCCAAGAGGTTGTTCTCTGGGACGTTATCCTCAACGTCGTCGTAGACTGCATTCTTGATGTTGTCTTCGACGTCGTCCTTGAAGTCGTCATAGACGACGTTTTTGACGTCATCCTCTAGGACGTCATCCTATACGTCGTTCTTGAGGCCGTCCTAGACATTGTTCTTGACGCTGTAATCTAGGACGTTGTCCTAGACGCCGCCCTTGACATCATCCTCGATGTGTGTAGGGCATTATAACCATTTGATGACTGTACCATTTCCTTTCCTAATAGACCGATCTCACCATCTAGTTCGAGTATGCCACCGCTGCCGCCATGCATCGTGGGAGCTGTAGTCTTTCTGCACGTGCGACAACCCCGCTGGAGCTCTGCACGAGCAGAGCACGAGGCGGCATGAGCTGTCTCGTGAACTGGCGTCTGCATCCTATGAACTACAGTTATCGCGGCGTCACGCATGCGTGGAGCGCTTAGTGAGATCGGTCTATTGTTTTAACTAACGATGTTCCTCTGAAGCTACTGCATTTCATCGCGTTTAGCAGAATGCCCATATATGCAGCCAATTTCTAAGCGGTAGCATTAAAGGCCCAACCATGCTCAAGGTTATATCCTCAAGGTTACGTGCCGCCCGTCGCTAAACTGCAAGGTCGCGTAATGAAGGTTATGAAATGCCTGTGACAGAAATGCAAGGCTGCGTAATCAAGGTCACGTAAGCACCGGTTGCGTAAGCTCTATTCACGTAAGCAGCGGTCGCATAAGCTCGTAAGCGCCGGTAGCTGAAGCTAACATGACCTGACATCCTGACTTCGTCCTTGACGTCGTCCTAGAGGTTGTCCAAGAGATCGTTCTTGAGGTCATCCTAGAGGTCATCCTTAAGGTAGTCCTAGCCAGAGGACGACGTTCTTGACGTCGTTCTCTGGGACGCCATCTTTGACGTTGTCATAGACGGTGTCTTTGACGTCGTCCTAGAGGTCTTAGGCGTTGTGCTGGACGCCGTCCTAAACACAGTCTTTAAGACGAGAGTGTGCGCTCTCGTCTCCTGCTCTCCCTCTCCTTCTACCTGCAATAGTTTCAGCAGCGCGCGAAATGCAAAACAGGTTGTGACGATAGTTTGACGTGGCCGCTCGCACAGTGTGCAGTGCAAGACGCCGGCCGGTCAGAGCGACAGCTTGGTGGACATCATGGTGGCCGTGAACGACACCCACTGGTTCCCGGGGAAGTCCTTCGACGTCATTGACAAGAAAGTGGCTGCCACGGGATTCGAGTACCAGGTGGGCAATGCTTGACTGGAGCACTCCATCTACGCGTTAACCCTATGGAACGCTGGAGTGGCGTACAGCCTGTTAGCCCAGAAATTCGAACAGGGAGGTCACAGCACCGCAGAAATAAACCGCCCCGCATCGCCAAAACCTCTTAACTCAAATGTAGCGCTATTTTTGGTTTTACGCAAAGTTCGAGTACGATTCGATGGAATCAGATCAAGCTGTGTCAAAAGTGCACCTTCACAGCACTCGTGGCCTTAGTGCGATTTTAGAGCGCAGCTCTTAGGGGCCCGTTCCCGGCTTGAGCGTCGTCGTCGTCGGCGTAACCAAGGTCATCCCAAGGTCACGTGACCCCTCCCAAGGTCATCTCAAGGTCACGTGACCCCCTGAAGGTCACGTGACCTTGGGGGTCACGTGGGGTCATCTTGGGATCACGTGACCCCCAAGGTCATCTCAAGGTCACGTGACCCCAAGATGACCCACGTGACCCTTTGAAGGTCACGTGACCCCCAAGTCACGTGACCCCTCTGAGGTCACGTGACCCCTTTGAGGTCACGTGACCCCCGAGGTCACGTGGTCTCCTCCCCAAGGTCACGTGACCCCAAGGTGACCCCTCTGAGATCACGTGACCTTGAGGTGACCCCCATGTGACACCCAAGGTCACGTGACCCCCAGGTCACGCCTCCCCGAGATCACGTGACCCCTCTCCCCGAAGTCACGTGACACCCCCCCCCCCCGAGGTCACGTGACCCCCCCCCGGAGCATATTAAAGAATGAGGGGAGGAGGAGGAGAAGGAGGAGGGGTCTACCCTCCCCTCAGTACCCTTCACTCCTCCTCCTCAAGAGCTGCGCTCCAATTCGGCGTTACAGGGATTTGTAAACGGCTTTCACTTTTTAGAGCGCAGCTCTTAGGGGCCCGTTTCCGGCTTGAGCGGCGTCGCCGTCGCCGTCGCCGTCGCCGTCGCCGTCGGCGTCGGCGTAACCGCGCGGTGCATCATGGGAAATGTCCCATAATGCACCGCGCGAGCCCCCCACCAAGGTCACGTGACCTCGTGGGGGGTCACGTGACCCCCCGAAGTCACGTGACTCCCCTGAGGTCACGTGGCCCCCTCCTCGAGGTCACGTGACCCCCGCCGATGTCGCGTGACCCCCCGATGACGTCATCGTCACTGATGACGTCACCGGCATCCACATCGTCATCGTCATCATCACTGATGACGTCACCGGCATCCACATCGTCATCGTCATCATCACTGATGACGTCACCGGCATCCACATCGTCATCGTCATCACTGATGACGTCACCGGCATCCGCATCGTCATCGTCATCATCACTGATGACGTCACCGGCATCCACATCGTCATCATCACTGATGACGTCACCGGCATCCACATCGTCATCGTCATCATCACTGATGACGTCACCGGCATCCGCATCGTCATCGTCATCATCACTGATGACGTCACCGGCATCCACATCGTCATCGTCATCATCACTGATGACGTCACCGGCATCCACATCGTCATCGTCATCATCACTGATGACGTCACCGGCATCCACATCGTCATCGTCATCATCACTGATGACGTCACCGACATCCGCATTGTCATCGTCATCATCACTGATGACGTCATCAGTGACGTCACTGATGTCGTCACCGGCATCCGCATCGTCATCGTCATCATCACTGATGACGTCATCAGCGACGTCACTGATGACGTCACCGACATTCGCATCGTCATCGTCATCATCACTGGTGAAGTCATCAGTGACGTCACTAATGACGTCATCGGTACCCGCATCGTCATCGTCACTGATGACGTCATCAGTGACGTCAGTGATGACATCATCGGCATTGGGGGTCACGTGACCCCCAAGGTAACGTGACCCCCCCCTGGTTAGTTTAACCCCCCCCCCCAGTGCCCTTCCCTCCTCCTCCTCAAGAGCTGCGCTCTAATTCGGCGTTACAGGGAGTTGTAAGCGGCTTTCATTTTTTTATCACGCGACCACCCGATCGCACACAGAGAATGTGCCGCCATCCTGCGTTTTTTTCTCCGCATGATTGATTCACCCGGTGAAACACACAAAGACGACGAACGCAGCGACAATGACATTGTTGCATTGCTTGACTAGCTACATCGGATAGCAATGTCGGCAAGTGCGACCGGAGTGAAACGGAGGATAGCTATTTGGATAACGTGTGAGGGTTTTCGCAAAAAGGCAGCTGATGGAGCCGGCGGGTACGTTGGAAACGAATAGCATCTGCTACCAAGAAGCGGACGTCGTTGTCTCGTTTATTTATTTCCAGATTATAATTGCTAGCGTTTCACTTGGGTGAACTTGAAACGTTCGGCGCCGCATGTTCTATTGTTTGTGTTCGCTTTCCTTGGCTGACGCCGCATACGTTTCGTGCCTGCAGATGTCCACGTTCAGCGGCATATCTCCGAGCTACGGGCCCAGGGCAGGTGGCACGAGCATTGCGGTGCACGGGACGAACCTGGACAGTGGCGCTTTGCAGATTGTCAGCGTCGGAAGCCACCCGTGTCACATCTACAGGTCGGTCTGTGGAGTCTCTTCCAATGAGGCGCTTGATGAAACGGGCTCTGGGGGTCTTCCCTGAGGCTGGTAATCTAAGGCTGTAATTTTTGTAGCGTGAGCTACACTGGCCAAGGTTGAGCAGTTTCGCGTGGCTCGCATAATAAGCCGTGCTCCGTGCTGCGCGTGCGCGAGGAGCATTGACGTCACACGGCGCACAGCTGGCGCGCTGAAGCCGCCGCCGCTGCGCGCTCCGCCACCGCCGCGCTTGCCTCGCCGGTCTGCGCATTTGAGAGGAGTGACATCATAGCTGCGGCAGATGCAATGGCGCCGCCGTGTGCCCAGCTGTGTGCCTCCGCTGCGCAGTAGCCAAGTCTGACGCTGCACCGGAGCCGCTTGATAGCGCTTCTCATTTTGTGCGCATAAGCTCACGCTACGTGTATCCTGGCATAGCCGAGCCAAGCCACCGCAATTTTTTTTGTATGTGTGTGCACATTCGACGACCGAACGAACTAACTTAATTCGTGTTATGTTTTCTTCTTGGATACAAAGCCTTGTTTGATATTAAACGGAAGGAATAAATAACGTTATTGTTATTGTGGTCGGTATCGTTAAAACATTCTTTATATGGCCTTGTGTACGTGCACTCTTGCAATATGCATCTCTGCAGGTGTACTGTTGTCATAATGGTGAATAAATAATGAATAAATAAGGAAATGTCAGATTTTTCTGATAACGGACTCATTACAGATAGACTTCAGTTTCCTTTTTATTTAGTCAGTCTGAAGGGTGAGAGGTGACCGGCCCTAGTGGTTATGCTGACTGACAGAAAAACGTCTACCTTTTTTACCACTATAGCGACGTTACCTTTGGAGTAGTATACCGAGCATCCGTCATCGCAGAGCACTTTGCACTCGGAATTTTTTGCTAGTGTACACAAAAATTAGCGCGAGACGAACATTCCTTCGTTATATTCATTGTTCCTTCGTTTTAAAGATAAGCTGGGGTGGTTTCGTATTTCAGGAAACATACTTAAAATCGTCTTTATTTGACCTCCAGGACCTCGAACATCGAAATTATTTTGTCATTTGGTGCAGGGAGGCTGTAGAAAAGTATTTTCAAAGTACCGCAGAAGGCCTTTCTTCCCGGAGCGTGACGTCATATACAGAGGTTTCGAAATCTCCGCTCTCGCGCATCTGCAGCGCCTATGAAAGCCATGCACGCGCTCTCTTGCTATTTTTACGAAGGACAGAAAAAGAAGGGAGTTTGGCCATACATTGGTTTGAATAGGCGAGCGTCTCGGGGCCAACCACAGGCAGCGAAACAGCCCCTAGCGGTGGTCGTGTGCTCTAAAAATGTGACACGACTAATTTAAGCCGTTCTAGCGTCGCTAGAGTAAAAAGGTTTATCTTTCAGTTACTGAAAACTTTGCGCATGTAAGGTTTTTCGTCACGCCAATATTCAAGTGTAGAATAAACGAACATGCGTTCCAAACCAGGACCAACTAAAGCTCTTTTATGTTTCAAAAGTAGCGCAAGGTTCGCTGATGCACGAGGCACGTGCAAAGTGCAGCCCTTGGGAGGATCATGGCGGCACAGCGCAGCACTGAGCTAGATTTCAGACGCCATGAATTTCCCAAAAGGGGCGCGCGGCATGTGCCTCGAGCATTTCTGCAACAATGAATGACACCACTTTTCTCATTTGCTAGAAACAGCGTCTTAGCTGAGACGGGGAAAGAAAGCACTGCCAAGAAAGCACTGGCGCGCGAGCGTCTCAAAACGCTCGCGTGTCCCACCCTTTGCACTGTTTTCTTTCAGCCAGTCTCAGCTGAGACGCTGTTCTTGCAAGCCGGCCCAGCGCAAGCTGTCATCGATAATCCATCTGCACAAACATCAGCAGTGCAGACAAAGGCATGGGCACGAGCGCGTGGCTTTGGAAAGTGCCTCCTATGCACGAGTTCTCGTACAAACAGAAGCGTTTTGCTGAGCTAGGCTCACGCGCCTGTGCCTTTGTCTTACTGCAGACATTTGTGAGATGGAGTAGAGAGGCCAAGATTGAATGCTTCTTTTTCGCGCTTTAAATGTCGTGTGCATTATTGTGACGTCGTGGTCTCCTGATTGGTCGACGCTCTAACCGCGGAGGGAGTTTTTGGCGCTGGTGGCGGCCTTTGCTCCGCTCATTGTCCACTCTCCTAATATACGGCTCCGAGAAAAAGACGCCACGACTGGTGGCGCTGTATATAGCTGGCAAGCTTGCGATTGCACACGCGGCCCTTGAGTGTCACGCGCTTGGCGGCCGAAAGATCCTCTTATGACATCACAACTGGTCGGAGGTTTTTCGCGTTTTCTAGCGTTTAGTGACATCTTTTGGGTGAAAACGAACCTGATATTCATATTCACGGGGTAAAACTATGCTGGAACAACCTCTATCTCATTTTTCGAACGAAGTGTTTCAAGTTCCCTTTTATTGCGAAACCGCTTAGGTGGACATAAAGTCGTACTGAAAAGGTTGGCCACCCACATAGAAATGCTTCCAGTCCAGGCTGTGTTATGGAACCGGAAATCGACTACGGCTGGAGCTGGAAATCTTTTTTACCAGCCGGATTCCAGGCTGTTTCCACCCAGAAATGGACAAACTTCTTGCTGGAAATTAGATTTTTCCTCCTCTAGTTGGGAAACTTCCAGGTGGATCATGTACTTCCAAGCTGGAATTTCTGATTTCCAGGATGAGCAGCATCCATTTCCAGCTGTAAACAGAATTTCCAGCTGGTGCTGTATAAATTAGCCGAAAATGCGGCTGGAAATCTTTATTTCTGGCTGGAAGCTGCAGCTTTTTTTCATGTGGGCAGCGTAACATACTTTATACTGGAGCCAGTGGCGTAACCAGGAATGTTTTACGAGGGAGGGGTGGGGTGGAGGGGGGGGGGTCTGAAGTGGCTGGGATGTACATATGACTTGATGACTTGGGGTGCGAAGAGGGTGAGGAGTGTCAAAATGCATGAGTATATTATTGGTGACTCCAGCGAAATTGACGCCGCGTTGCGGTAACGCGGAGAAGCTGAAGAGAGGAGGTCGTTTCGACTCCGTCGTCTGCTATCGCTGCTTGGTTCTCGTAGGCAGCATTATTTTTATGCTTCCGCCATGTCATATTCCTACGCACTGACTAGAAGAAGGTTTCTACCGTCGAAAAATCGCTTATATGTAGAACCAATTTTACGCTGCAGTGCCAGAAATTTATTTTGGTTCGCGTGCTGAACGACGAAAACGACTTCCTTTCGCTTGCCACTTTGCCTGAGCAGCGCGCCTCATTAGAATTCGCTGGAGTCGCGAATAGGGTCGGCTGGATTTCGGAGGGGGGGGGGAGGGGGGGGGTGGAGCTGAGCCCCATAAGCCCCCTTCCCCCCTCCCCGCAGCCGGCTACGCCCCTAAATGGAACGTATATGCTTCGCAGCAAACAAACATAGTTTGTAGTGAAACATAGAAGTGAAACATAGTTGGTATTAAAGCGTATAGTAAGTGAAACTGTTCAAACTTGGCAGGTTTCACTAACACACAGTTTGTATTAGTGAGCATTTCCTGGTGTAGTCCAACATAGTTGCTCGTGAGATGCCACTGGTAGCACAGCGTTTTTGGTAGTCGAACATACTATAATCGGTGCAAACTTCGTTGGTAGAAGGACAAAGATGCAACGCAGTTGATAGTGATACAGTCGGTATATAGTGATAACAGTACAGTTGATAGCAGTACATAGTTGGTGGTGCAGCATAGACCAGTAGCTGTCTTGCGTGCGTCTTTACTCCTCTCCATCTATAATAGCGCATATATGTGCGGTTTTAAACACGAGGGAAGGTACGTAAATTAAACGCCGGGAGTTTTAGCAAAGGATTTCAAAAGTTCCTAAAAATGGGTGGCTGAGTAAAAAAAAGAAAATCTTTCCGGGAACGAACTGCCTGCCACCCACGGCGGACGTGAAGAATTGCGTAAAGCACACTGATTAGCTAAATGGTGACAAATATTTACTAATTGACTTTTAATTAATGATAATAAGCATAGGATTCCAATTAGAAACTTGCTAAGCTTAATCAAAAACCACTAAATCAACTCATGTTTCAAAGTTATAAGGCAAAAACAACAGCTTATGGTGTTGCAAGAAAAAAAAACGCTCAATTTGGAGGCATTTTTAGGTTTTAGTTTTGTATCGGAGCGCATCTTTGCGCCAGCAGTCCTGCTTCCTGGTGGCTGAGGCACAACACACGTGTGTCAAGCTTCCCCCGTTAGAGGCAAGGCGATATCTCCGCGTCTCAACCACCGAGGAGCAGGACTGCTGGCGCAAAGATGTACGGAGATCTGCTCTGATAGGAAACCGAAACCTTGAAACGCGTTCAAACTGAGTCTTTTTTTCTGAACGTCGAAAAATGCCGCTCCACAGCTGCTTTAAATCTTTCATGAGTGGGTTGATTTTGTGGTTTTCGATGACGCTTAACAAGTTTCTCATTGGAACTATATGTTACTTTTAGCTAATTAAAAAGCTAATTAGTAATCTTTAGTGAATTATTGAGCTAGTTGATAGGTTTTTGTAATCCGTAACGTCCGCCATGGCTTGCAGTTTGTTCCCGGATAAAGGTTATTTTTTGTCAACCATCCTAACCTTAGAGATTTTTTAAAGTCTTTCCTGAAGCACCCTGTGTATGGATGTGTCCAATAAACATATCTATACACGCCTTATATAATTTTCCTAAGTGCAGATACAGCAAAATTGTTAACAGTCAGACATAAACAGCGTGGCATTTACTTCGTCTATTGCAGCGTTACCAACCTGACCATCCTGTGTTCCACGAGTCGACTGGAGGGTTCTCATCCCGGAGGTGACGAGACGCATCGGGTGACCTTGACGATCGACGGACAGGAAGTTCCCTACCTTCCCACGGAGGGACTCACTGCAACCTTCTCTTACAAGCCAAACCCTGTGATCAAGCAAATCCTCCCTGCGTCTGCCCCATTCAAGTGAGCAATGTTAAACAAATATACAGTGTTTACGCAAACCATTCACACTAATGTGACGCCTCAAAAAGATTGTCTGCGTGCGTCGCTGCGGTGTGATTTTATGGAGATGTTCCTTCACTTTACCAAAATCTCATTCCTCCCTTCGGATGTGATTATGATTGTTTGAATCAACGTACTGCTTAATCACTCCCCTTATTTGACCGTATTATATCAATTACCACAGTGTCATGTGAGTCATCTAGTCTGGAGAATAAATCAATGCGCACATTGTTTTTCGAGCCTATTGGGGAGGAGATTGAACAGTCACGCCACTAGCGGCATGCTGCAGCTGTGCGGACAACAAACCTAATTTTGTTGTTTGTTGTTGATCAGAGAAATCGAAGATGACGATTCGAAGGCCGCTCCTCGTGTGTCCAAAGCACTGGTCAAAGCGAAGCGCTCGTGCCCAGACAGTGCTAGGCGAAGTTCAATTTCTTTGTTTTGCTGTGTTAGTAAACACCGCGCCGTGTGGACAACAAGCTCAATAAAGCGCCCCCTATAGTTCGATCTTCTGCCCAATTACTGTAAGGAGTGTTGTTTTAGATATTGTCGGGAAAAGAAGAAGACGAGGGACACGCGCAGAGAGTCGACCCTTGGAAGTCGTGGTGGTTACGTTCGTTTCAAAGGCTCGCTAGCCCAAACTGTCAAGTTGTCACCCCACCTCCCTTCACTGTAAATCCCATCAGCATCAAATCATTGTATGTCTAAGACCCTCGCAAGGTATTGACATTTTCCCCAACCTGGTGGAGGCTACGAAAAAATATTTGTGTTAAAATGACGACGCGCAAGAAAAAGAGGGGATATCCCTTTGGAAACCATAAAGAATAACCCTGTTAGCCTTGCTGGAGCGACACGTCATGTACTATGAGACAAGCTACATTGATAGGCTTTAAAGAAGTGGTCTTATAGGTTGTGACAGATCACATTTTGATAATTCCATGTGGGAATACAATCATGAAACAATTCCTTTGGTATAACTAGAACATTGTAATAATGATAGATTCCTCTCGTAATTACTACAAATCTTTTCCATGTCTCATAATTTTGTGCATTATGTTCAAAAAATGCAAGTTTTCGCAAATCTCAGTGCATGTTTAGATCTCCGATAGGCTGTCTTTGCTACTTTGACGTGTTTCAAGATGCATCTCGTTCATAAGCGGATTTTCGCGTTGCAGAGGGAGGTCTAAGGTTCTGGTGCTGGGAGAGAATTTGGACAGCGTCGTCAAGCCGGTCATGGTGACACGCGTCACATCCCTCAACTACAGGCATCACGAACACATCTCCAAGGTTTGTCAACAGTGCCTTTTGTTAAAAAAGAACAAAGAAACAAAATGTGCATATATTTCTGCTTTTAAACATCACTTTTCTCCAGCGCCATTCGTCAAAACTGACATCATTTCTTCAGAGGCTTTGCATATGCTTTATATGTGCCGTTCAGTGACTTCGATCGATCGCATATCAATCGTCGCGTCTGCCAGAATACTAGCAGGTCGGTCTCTGTGCCCAGCTATTGACCGATCAGGCCCGCTATGTAAAACAATTTTTCTTCAAATCAGAATTTTGCACATTCTCTGTACAGTTGAGCGAAACATACAGTACCCCGAAGTTGTTTTTGCTCTAGTATATCTTAAATTTAATGTTTTTATCAGGACATTGATAGCAAGATATTGGCGCTATGAAAGTTATTCCAGCACTCAGACTTACAAGCATTTCACCTAGGCACAGCGTTTATCAGTTTGTGTGTGCATGAACTCATTGTTTTTTAACGAACACATTTCCAGACAGCTGCAATAAGCTGGCGCTTGGGTGCGCGGAACTGGTGTTTGGAAGGATCCGTTCTGTGCGCATGCTCCATATCACAGTCAGCGTCACCGCCTCTTTGTTTGCATCAGAAACAGGAGGGGAAGGGCTTCAATGAGGTCGTTTATGTTTCCATCTTACTCTCGTGCAGCATTAAAGGCCGGACACCTTGGAGAGTTTCATGACACTGGACATTTCTGGATTCTACAAAATTTTTTTCTTGTAACAGATCTTACGATATCTTCTCAATTGTTTTGCAGCAATAAGGAAGCCCAATAAAGATAGATAAGATTAAACCGAATAATGAAGGTTCTGCACTTTTGGGATGAGTAATGTTACACCTACGACGTCGTGCATCATCACAAGTAATGGCTGTACGCACGACACAAAACTTTTTGTTGCATCTCGCCTAATTGGCGGGGTGGAGTAATAAGTAAGTAATAGAGCAAGATTTGTTCCTTTCTCTTTTTACCGATTTCCTCGGCTGAACTTTCCATACATTGCCTTCCTTTTTAATCCGTCTCGCATCGTGGCATAGCCTCCTTTATACTGACAAAGCCTGGCAGATCGCCACGAGATGCGGCCGTTGAAAGTGAAAAGGTAGAGTGGCAGGCAAGAGCCATGTAATGGGCGCCCCGCTGCGGCGAGACGCCGAAACACACTTGTTCCGAGTGATGAAATGTCCGCTCGTGCTTCTCGCGTTCCTCGGGCTACCACTTCTTTTCTCGTGGGGTTTGAAAACCATGTTTCGGGTCCTCGCCGCTGCAAAAGCTGTGCGCAGACTACAGGCTCCCCGAGAAATGCTCTGTGCTACCAGATCCTCGCGATTTAAATTTGCGACTGGGCACTCTGTGGCTCCGTCATCGAACTAGAATACTGCCAGGCTTTGTGAGTATAGAGGAGGCTATGTATAGAGCCACTAAATGAACTGCACTTAGAGTATCGGAACTCTGTGCCCCGGCATTGGGCGCCGCGAATTTTGGTGCTTGTGCAAAGCAGACGCAACTGCCGCTCGTCATGATTCAAAAGTGCGACTTCCTCAGCATTAGATTCGGTGTTAGGAAGCTCATTTAATATTGCTTTGCTCTGTCGCGAACTGTTTAAACATTTGCAGAGGACGGAAAAGCGTTTGCCATGATTTCAGATAAAGCCTCAACACTTTGTAATCTCTCCTTGCCAGGAGTGCGTGCCAGCGGACGATGGCCAGAGCCTGGCGTGCCCCGTGGCCTCGCTGTTCGACTCCTCGGTCATCCCCCGTGACCAGCTGCAGAACCACAGGGACTCGATCTGGGTTCAGGTGCACTTCCAGATGGATGGGCTCCGACTGCCTGAGAGGGCCGCCGGCATGGACGCCAGCTTCAAGTTTGTGTACAGGCCCCCGCCTAAGTTCGACCCCTTCCCGCCTGGCGGGCTCAACGTGCGCGCCAACGACCCCACCGTACTCATCAGGGTAAGGATTATGATTTCACCGGCTCATCACGCCGCGCAAAGATGCCCGCAACACTGCCGATACACCTTTCCGGCAATGCCCGGGAAACCTTGCAGCGAGGGGAATTGTGGGGCTCTCCGGATGTACGCTCGTGCAGGCTCGAACGCTTCGGATATCCTGGTAGCGGCACGATAGATTCTTTCTTATCGTTAGGAGCTCAGAATATACGCAATAACAAAATCTAACGGAAAAGAAGTTCATCATATACTTTGGCTTTCGTTTCGCCTTCTCTGCGTTGTGAAACCTCAGCTTCATCTTCGCTCTTTGGATAATTTCACGTGCCGTACAACGCTTGGGGCACCACATACTATTTCCGGAAAGGTCTACTGCTGCTAACTGACTCGCATATAAAGGGACACAATTGAAAGCTAATGCAAATGAGAAGAACGGAGAGGAGGAGGGGGGTGGGGAAGCCGTCTAACTTTTCTTGTGAGTGTTCAAGCTTGATGGATTAAATCAGTTGAGAGATCTCAGAAGAAAAATAAATCTCCTTCAAATTATTGCGGGGTAAATTCGGGCAATCACGGCAGTGGGAAATCGAAACTAACTTGGAACAAACGCATGAGGATGGTCATGAGCGGAAACAATATCGCTGCTGAAGAGGCGGCAGAGTTGGACGTTTGGTGACGGGGAGGTTCTGTGAACACGTGACCAAAAGCTTTCACCCAATTCAAAACTCGGCTCGCGGCCTGCTCCCGTGATCCAATTAAAAATTCAAAGTCATCGCGTGATTCTCTCATATACGATAACTGGCGCTTCTGGGTTTCTTTTATTCTTTTTACACCAGTAGATGGAAATCTCTGGGCTCTCGATATGCTTTGGCCAAATCCCAAATCGGCTTGCGGAAGCAGGCCGCGAGTCGAATTGGGTGAGCCGAAGCTTTCCTTGACATGTTCGCAGCAAGTTACGCGTCACCACACGCCCCACTCCGACGTCTCTTCGGCAGATATTGATTCCGCTCCTGGCGCACTTTTCCCGAGTTAGTTTTGACTTCTCGCTGCCGTGAGTGCCAAAAGTCGCGGATTAACGCGACGTGGCATGTTAGGTTTTTAATCTTTGGGATCTCTTAATTGCTTTAGCGCCAGTAAATAACGTGTTGCAAACCCCAAATTAAAACATGCTTGCTAAATCAAAATACTAAAAATGTAATTAGTATTTTTTTCTAATTAATTATTTAATGAACATTTTATACTTGCTTTCTTACCTCCACCACCGTAGGCAGCTTAACTATGAAGGAATCGTGTCTTCAAGTCAAGTTCCCCTTTTATTTAAATACTGTCACACTAACGTGGAACAGCCTATATACACTAAGCGTGGTTTTAGTATTCTGCAATATTATGTCTTTTTTGTTTTAATGAGATATGTTAAAGCCCCGCTTAATTTGTTTTCTTCTAAATGCTCGGTCTTTTTCTATGAGGTGTTTCTAAGGTATAACTTTCTTTTCCAGGGCCACAACTTTGAAGTGCTGGAGCACGACGACCAGTTTAGCGTGATGATAGACGACGTGGATCATGCGTGCGACGTGATAAATATTACGTCGACCACCATTGTGTGCTACTACAAAATCTATGAAAAGAGCGAAGACGCCGCCCATACCGTAGATGTAAGTCGCTTTAACCTTTCTCCGTGACATTGCTCCCTTGTTCCTTTCGTTTAGTTTCTCCTAACGGCTTTTCCCCGGCTCTTTTTGACCTGTCACTGGACTGTGCCTGCCACGTCTCTGTGGTACAATATGTTAGCACGAATTTGTCGCAAACCGGCTTCATGAAAGTCCTCCGCCTACCTAACTTTCTTGTGTATAGTGTTGTTGTTGTAGTTTTTATCTTCTTTTTTTTTCGCATCCTGTATAAACTATTACCCGCTCCCGATGCTTGGACACAAAGTACATACAATATTCATGAGCTGCATGCCAGTGGTAACGTTTCCTTTCTTTTGTTTAAAAGTAAAAACGATCGACAAAAAGTAAATAGTTCGCAAACTGGTTGCTTTTTTTTGCATTTGTAGGGCTGTCCATTTTTGCAATCATGCGACTGTTGCGCATTTGACGACAATAAATGGGTAGAAGAGTAAAAGGTGGATTGGGCGCGTGATTGGTCTGTCCTCGTTGCGATGCCCTTGGTCGTATTCATGTAAACCTAGCCTATTACAATTTCGGCCGATGTCTCGCCACTTGTATGCCGTATGTCAAGAACACACTCTCAGAAGCACCTGCGTGTATTTTGGCCCGCGGTGCAATCGGAGCACCAATCGCTGGTCTTTCAATCAACTTAACCAATAAGAAGGGCAAAAGGTGTACCACGTTTGGTCGTGCAGTTTCAGCGCCCGAAAAGCCTCACCCCTTCTGCCTTTGAGCGCGCAAGCTTCTTGAGCATGACATAATGTCCTTCTCATTGCTTGAAGTGATGGAAAGATTAGTGATCGGAGTTACGAGAGCATCGCAGGCCAGTACACATGCTGGAGCTGCTGCTCACCAAGCGCAACATTTCAATATGTCTCGCTTTATGTAGACGAACTATACGAGTTCGATATGGCGTCTTATTTAATGCTGACACATTGCTCATGTCTAATTAGGCAGCACGATTGTTGCACGACGAAGTGGGCATGGTGGGAGATGGTGACGGTGCAGGAATGTGTACGGTCAAGCCTCTTTATCAACCTGAATACAGTGAATTCCATAGGCATTGTTTGAGCTGGGAGCTCTAAAGTGTCTCCGCGGTTGCTTGCTAAGTTGTCTTCCCTCACAGGTGGTTATGGGCAACGAGACCTTCAGGCTGGGCGCGCTCAAGCTCGTCTCGGGCCAGGCGTCGAGCCACACGGGCACCATCGCGGGGGTCGTCATCGCCGTCTTCATCATCACGCTCATCGTCGTCGGGGCCTTCTTCTACTACAAGCGGAGGCAACCGAACAAGAGGACTCCCGGATATTTCGTCGAGTACGACAACCGCAACGGCGAAAATGGCGGAAGACCTCCGGGAGAAAACGGCAAGTTCAGTATAGCAAATTAAGAAACGCCACAAAAAATATGCCATAAAAATGTGTTTTCTTTTACAGCCGGAAAACTTGTTGTGGAAAGCCAGCATATTATGCGAAGCAGTCCAGTGCTCTTTTTATAGTCACACACGAGCACTCTACTTGTAGAATTTTGGATACAATCCGACCGAATGCAAAGAAGTTCGCATTGAGTAATGCTGCATTATTCATCAAATCCCCAGTGTAAGGACAGGTTACATTGTTTGGGTGCCCTTTCTGCTGTTTACACTTTCTACGAACGCGACTTATGATAATGATGACGGAAAAGTTGTTTATGTGCTTAAGCGCGGATTGAGTTATTGCAGAACTTTCCAGTGGCATAGTTTCCACCTCCCGGATTGCTAGCGGACTATACTTTGTTCCGTCACATGTCCGAGCGCAGTCGAAGGCACAAATGCACAGAACCATGCACACAAAATGTCCGAGCGCAGGTAACTGGGCTTTAACTGTATACTCTGTTTCATACTTAGCGTGCAACGCTGTCAAAGCTACTGACGCGAGCCTTCATCTATTGTATTGTTTGCGCGAGAACGCCAAATGATCAACGAGATCAAGCCCCACCCTCGCGCCAGTAGCTTTGACAGCGTTGCACGCTAAGTATGAAACAGGGTATACCGTAAAATACCGAGAAAGCGCCCCCCCCAACTCAAGAGATAATTCAACCAAAATATGGGGGGGCCCTTCCTTGGTTCCGCACCAATATTCAAGATGGCGGATAAAGAAAATGGCAGCCACTAAAAGTATGCAATCTAGACTGCAGTCTTACCAAAAATGATTTCCGTAGACAGTTTCCTTGCGAACTTTATCCTTTTATTCGCTGTCGAAACCATCGAAGGATTCCTCAGAATCTGACCCAAAAACCAGGTCCACACACTCATCCCTCAGCTCGTCGCGGTCTTCCGGGACCACAACGCCGATGTCAGCGAGCCGATCGCTGACATCGCTGACAAAGAAGTGCTGACGGCGCGCCCAGCACTTCTTTCGCACTCAAAAAATTCAAAAAGCGCGTCGTCCACTTTCTCGCTGAAAACGGGGGCTCCGTTTCCCAACTTGCGTCGTAACTTCGACTTTCCGAAGTTCTCTTGAAGAAGCACTTCATACTTCTTGTCCCATTCGCGGATTCTCTTGCGATCAAGCTTGAACTGACGCGATGTCCAATGCACGTTCTTGCCATTCAGCCTGTGCCACTGGACGACCTCTATCTTCTTTTGCACAGTGTACGAGTGCATAGCGCACGCAGTAACGCGACTGGTTCCGGCGCCGTCAAACAACAAAATGGCGAACAAAAGGTTCACGTGGTTCACGTTTACTTTTGGATTGGATTGGATCCCTGGCTACACATAAAAACAAAACTTCCAGAACGAAACTTTTTTCGGGGCCACCGGCAGCGGAAAAAGGGGGGAGGGGGAGGGGGGGCGCTTACTTGGTAGTTTACGGAAATGCGAAATGTGCGGAAAAAGGGAGGGGGCGCTTACACGAGGGGGGGCGATTACGCGGTATTTTACGGTAGACGATTTGGTTCAGGGTGTACAGAAACACGGCGAACACCATGACGTTGCTTTTTAAACGCTGTTTGATTGGTCCTTTCGGCTCGTAACGTCAACCTTCTCGACGTCAACGTAACTGAATATTCGTCTACTTTAGCCTGCCGGCCAACGACATGTGAACTGCGATGAAGACAATGTTGGGTAAAGTGCATCTAAAAAGTACTTGGAGTAAAGTACAAAGTAGATGGGAGCTGTCATGTACTTCAAGTAAAGTTGTAAGCATTGTGGTTCTCCTTGGGGCCACTGCCTTTGGGAGTTCCACGGTCGCGGCGAGACGCTCTACCGCGAAGCGGGTTCGTACTCGCGTGGCATGCTGCTCGTTGAGCGCAAACAGACACCAGCCACATTGGTAACGGTGATAAACTCTGTTTATTTACAATGAAACAAAAAGAAGAAAACAGCGGCTATAAGCTGGTGAACGCCGTCGGTGTGGAGATCGCCCACGGCCGAACGGTCGTTTACAAAGGTACAAAGGACGGGGTAAACGCTCACCGGTGCGCCGTATGGGTCCTCGTTGTCGCCGCCGCCGAATCCCAGGAAGAAGAGAGAGCGGAGATACTGCTGTCCGCTGGTTTTAAGATAACGGCGGGGGCGAAGTGGCCAATCAAGGAGCGACACGTCGATCTCCTTTGTGCGGGGGTTCGTTACGGAAATCGCCCCAAAGGGGTAGAGGAGGAAGCCACTCGCAGTGGTAAGCAGTGCCACCTCTCGCTACGCCAGCGCGGCCGCCACGGCGTGCCAAAACGCTGACGCGACAGAATGTTTAGGGATCACAATCCCCACAGCATACACCGGCGCACAATGTACTTGAAGTATTTTTTTTGCTGAAGAAGGACAAGGACACAAAGAAATCGACAAACCTCTTAGTGCCCTTCTTTTAAAAAAAGATATTTTAGGTAAAATACGCTAAATAGAATGTACATTTCAAGTAAAGTACAAGTACTTTTTAACACCGTCTATCATCATGCCCTTTAATTCCCCTATGATTTTTTCTTCCTAACTGGTATGCATTGCCACTGGGGTAGTGGGGGCGCATCAGTTATTTTCTGAAATGGTGGCGAATATTGGATAAAGTGGCCACGGAGTAGTTATTTTACTCACGCTGACGAACTATATAAGAGCTAGGAAGTAGGAATGAGGTGTGATGCAACTGTTTTCGTACTTTCAATAAATACCGCTTAGAATTATTCCTTGGCATTTATGACCTATAAAACACAATCTTATTTTTTTTCCTTTTTTTTCTCTCCATGCAATGGCAGTCGCTGGAAAAAATTTACAAAAACAACCAGAGCTCAGACTCACAACTCGGAGACAGAACAACCGACCACGTGACCAGAAGCCGATTATATGCCACCAACGTTTATTATATACCACGGGCTGGAGTTACCAATGTATGCGGAGAGCAGGTCGCCTGCTTCTTTTGCAGAAGTTGTGGTGACGTCAGAAAGGAGCCGAGCTCTGATTGGCTCTGATCGAGGGACAGTGGTGTTGAGTGCAAATATGCTGTGCACGGCATTTAAGCATTACTCAATTGGAACTTCTTTGAATGGAAGCTAACGATGCGCTCACGCTTAGCGGTGGGAGGTGGCCGAGGTCGAACCAATGTGTTGTGCGTATTTTCAGACGACGCCGTACCCCCCGACCCACAGCAAAGTAAGTGTAAGACGTCGCCCAGGTGACGAGACATGGCCAACGTAACACCCCGCGGCTTCGTTTTTAACCCGTAGTCTTCGCTGCGCGCCTAACACTCGGCTTCAGACTGCGCAAACTCACAACTTGGGGTTCGGGACAGTTGGCTTGCACCGTTTCGTCAATATGTACACGTGCGCTTTTCTATAGAGCAATCAGTCTGTCAATCACTGTGATCCATTGCAAAAGATAATGATAATAAAACCGTTTTGATTTAGAAAATGCGCTACCTGCGTGAGAGTTGTGTTTTTGAGTCAGACCGTTTTTTGTTTCAAATAACTTTCTGGATGCAGTGATTGGTCCACAACATTCTCTGTGGGAAAGTTAGCATGCGTACACTTTTCACAGCGGAGAAACGCGAGAAGAGCTAATCTTTACTAATTTGGTAGAAAGTGACGGCCGGCATTCACTCTTGCCTTGCTCTCGCTGGCTGGTAATATTGATGAGGGAATAAATAAAGCTGTCGACATGCCTCTGGGGAAATACGGTGGTTTCAACTGGAACCTAACACAGCCCAACTTGATGTAATAACCCGCTGCCCATAGCTTTGGACCCGTTATATGTTTATACACATCCGTGCACAGCGCACCTCCTGCCGAACTGTGTCACTGATCTTGCACAGTGCATTACTTCTACTTCATTGAGTGGCATGATCCATGTGCTGATTGATTATGAAAAAAATCTTAAAACCTTGGTCCTGTCACGGGGGGGACAGAACAACAATTGTTCTGTCCCCCTTTTTGTGTATCCCGTGTCTCTGCGTTTTGTTTAATAGTTATGCATTACCAGCCCGCCTTTGCGATAGCCCTTTTCTCAGTAAAACCGCCCTAGCAGGCGTGAAGTTGGCCCTCGTAAACCCCTCGTGTCCCAAGATTATAGGTGGCAGGAATTGGTACTAGAACTATTCTTATCGTTTTTTTTTTAACGATTGTCGACGACACTTTATTGTTGCACCGTTTGTAAGCATCACGGAAAAGACCTCTTGAGGCAGCGGACAATGAGGCTGTGTTGCAAATCTTACTCAAACGGATCCGAGTTACTCCGGCGGATCGTACCACGTGACAGCAAAGATTGAAAAACGCTGAACGCGGGTAGGTTTTAGAATTCCAAGGGTACAAAACCCTTACAATGGAGTAAGATTGAGTAAATTTTGGAACACGGCCTGAGTGGTGACGTTCGTAATACACTTCCCCGAGACTCAGCACTCGCTGCCGGCGTATGCACCTCACTCCATCATCCGTGCACTAAAATTGTTGTTGGTGGAAATTGTTCTGCACACAAGGTATTTAAAGGCGGGATCATGAGATGAGCAACCAGTGCGAGAGCGCGTTGCGTCTCAGCATGCGGGCAGAAATTTCTGGCGTCTGTTTGACCCACAGTAGGTGAACCGATTGCCTGGAAGCTAGTTCCTCTCCAAACTACCATGTTGGTACTATCGTAAAAGCAATTGCTTAAAATAAAATTAAACTATATATTTTTCACTATCACGCCAAAAAGATGCGCCATGGCATGCATTTGGCGCAACTTGCAACACTATATATGAACATCCTTCTCGACGCACCCGAGCTTCTTTTGCACACACGCACCCCATGCACACTTGCATGTTGGCACAGCCTCTGTCAGTTGCCGCCACAAAACCTTTCAAAGTCATCGCGCACTGCAAGCCTGTCTGTCAACCTTTTTCTTTCTTGGTCCCAAAGATTACGTGCGAGGCAACGAAGCAGACGCGAGACAAGCCCTCATCGCCTCCTCCTTCCAACTGGACGACGAGACCAAGGCGATGTTGGAAGCGGAGAAGCTGCTCTTTAAGCGAGAGTTCCTCACCCTGGGCCCTGTCATCGGACAGGGTAAGCGCATCTATCTCCAAGAGCGCGTCCGACTAGCGTCCTTGCCGTTGGCACGTCCTCAGTAGCTGCCAGGAAGGCCACTGCTCTCTTTCTGTTTCCAAGTTTCTACCAATCGTGTCTTGTCACTTACGATAAGGTTGCCTTGCCGCATGCGCAGCTTTTTGAAATACTGACTCGGTGTTGGCATGGTGACCCTACGTTGGTGGCCATTGTGGTAGTTGGCTCGATGCATGCGCATTGTGGAAGAACAATGCAAATTCGAGTTTCAACAGACGCTCAACATTTAAATTAACATAGGCTGACAAGTAAACATTGAAAACGCAGACGAGACATAGAATTCGCCGCGGCTAGCAACATAGTGTTGCGCTCCTGGGTGGTTGTTGCCTTTTTGTCAGTAGCATCAAGTCCGCTTGAGGGAGACCCACAGCCTGTCGATCTCGTCACGTGCGCGTTGTATGTGTGCCATAGTTTCGAGGTACCCAAAGACGTTTATTTAGCATCCAGAAGGCACCAAAATTGGAAGCGGAATCACAAGCAGAACTGATCTTTCTCGTCTTCGAAAGCGTATAGATTTGAATGGGATCGCCATACAGATCAGCAACCGCTTTCAGAAATGTAACTACACCGCCAGTGTAAACACAGCTTAGCTCTGGGTCGTTTAATGCAGTTTTACTTTCAAGTAAACGCTCGGTGTGAAAGTGAATGGTTTCAGCATTTAATAATCCGACTCGAGCGTTTATCGATAGGGCTGTGGGTCTATCTGAACCCGACGTTTTGGTTGTGCTCTGCAGGACACTTCGGCTGCGTCTACAGAGGAACGCTGGAGCTGGAAGGAAAGGGAGAGGTCCAGTCTGTCGCGGTGAAGACACTTCACAACAGTGAGTGGGACACCTTATTGCTCCTTAGCAATGGTCTTTAACGTAGCAAAACAGGATAGAAATTGAAGGCGTTAAAGAGGGTGGAAAATTAATTGAAGATATAACTTATTATATATCAATGTCAAACTGCAATTAAACTGAATTTATTTCATTATTGCAATTCAAATTGTTTTTCAATATAAATTCTACTACTACTGGTCTTCATAATAATAATTATTTTAATTTATTTGTTCGGTGCTCCAGAACCATAGGTAGAAATTTTATGCACATGAGAGAAACAACAACTAACGCAACTCGGAATACAATGCGTACAATAGTCGGTGATATAAGCTGAAATGCGTGACCCACGACCTGACGGTAGGGGCCACGCAGTCTAGTGAGTGTCGAACGAAGCGGCAGAGCGACGGGGGTTAACTTCGTTTTTGACAGCCCCCGCGTGCGATATCTAGCCCCCCCTCCCCCTCCCCGGTCAGATGCATGTCATGGAGAACTCGACGCACACGGTATTATGCACCCGGCGGAGGGTGTCAAGGCATCACGTGCGGTGGGTGCAAAAAAGAAATGGGATCACCGCCATTGATGCTCTGACGCTTTGTTGCGTGGCCTGTACCTCAGGGTCGCTGGTCGCGCAATCCAGCTCATATCGCCAGTCAATGTGCCGCAAAAGTCAATTTGGACGTGAATCGGTAACACAAATAACGATACAAATCACGTTCAAGGAGAAAAAAAAGATCTGTCTAGGTATCAACATAAGATTGCATCCACACCGATACTAAGGGTGGTAAGTTCTCTAAAATGAATGAGCAAAAGTGCATTAATTTGTAATAACTGTATAGTCTCCACGTGACATTTTAAGCTGACGCCGAGTCACTACCCATCTGACTTTGAACTACTTTATAGAAGTATAAAAAATAAAACATTAAAACGTGCCAGTATCGAGGCTGCGAAGCTCGGCAGATGACTAAACTCGAGTAGCATTGTTTGCAATTTCTTATTTGGGGGAAGTTGAGAGCCAACTACATGTCGTCCGTGAGCGGGAATATACCTATTTCATCGCTACAAGTATCAGATTGTGCAAATGGCGCAGACTCGAGAGGCGGGGAGGCGGACGGCCAGGCGTTCCTGGAGGAGGCGCTCATCATGAAGGACTTCCACCACATGAACGTGCTGCCGCTCATCGGCCTGAGCATCGACGAGGGCGGCCAGCTCATGGTCATCATCCCGTACATGAAGTACGGGGACCTGCTCTCCTACATACGCGAGGAGAGAAACGTAAGCCTTCGTTCGCTGGCCGCCTGTGCCACCGGACGTTTACTAGAGTTGGCGGGAACGCATTACTTGTTTCGGTAACATAATAATCTACTCGTTATGTTTTCAAAATAATAGATAACATAGTTATTTCGAGTTGTGGTTAACGCATGCAGTTACGCTGCTCGTCACGTCTTCCCAAGATATATATGAAAAAGGCTTGAGGTACACCGAAGCACTTCTTATGAGTTGTAAATGCAAAAGCACACACGCCGCTCTTCGCTCCCTTCTTTAATCTGCGGCTGACCTTGGGCGTGGAACGGTGGAGCCGCTGCCTCGCCGACACTCAGCGCCGTCGGGTGAGCGATCGTTCAAACTGTCGTGTGCCTCGCGGCGCGAGGAAAGAACAGACAGCAACGTAGTTCCCAGCAGAACGAACCCCTTGGTTTATTCCACGCGCCGTATACATTGCCACGCTCCATACAACCGATACGAGGCGAGCGAACGCGGTGATCAGGGATAACATAGCAATGTGAAAACACAGTCAGGATGACGCCACACAAACTGATGCGCATTGTCCAATGGGAGCATCGTCGACGCGCGCCCGCCAATGGGACCGAAGTGTAAAAGGTGCCGTTGGCTAGCTTTGCGCGTGGCTTCATTAAGGTGCCGTTCTGCATGGCTTCAAAGCTGATGACGTCGGCTCACTCCATGAAACAGTTAATGCTTTTTCATTAAACCTTATCCTTTCATTAATTTCGCGTTTACAGGCACCAAGTCATAGGAATTCTTCCACTCATCCCATATCTCTTTAAAATTTTGCCTAGAACTCTTGTTCCCACGCAAACACTCCCAGTTTCTTGAAATATGGCGCTTATGGATACCGGTAACGTCAAAACAGTAAAAAGTATTCCTTCATAAAAAAGTAACACAAAAGTAATATTGCTCCTGATGTTATTTGGGCTATATTGACAGATGTTATTTGGACTATATTCAGGGGAAGCTTCTCTCCTTTTTTTAGCAGAGCGAACACTGGAGAGGAGGTCGCCCCCTCTCCATCGTTCGTTTGCTAAAGGGGAGAGAGAAGCTTCCCTGAAATCTTAATCTGTCACCGACTGTTGATGGCATTTTATTCTCGCTGTTGCCTCTTTGTAACCATTCCGCTTAAAAAAAAATGCGCATGTTTTTTTGTTTTTTTTTTAACATTTTGCCAGGTGTTCTATAAGTTGGATTAATCATGCAATTGTAGCTTTTACCCTATGCTCTTATAACTGCCGTTGAAGATTCGAATTGAGCTCAAAACAAATGTATGTGTGTTGCAGTCACCAACGGTGAAGGATTTGATCACCTACGGAATCCATGTAGCTGAGGGCATGAAATACCTCTCCGACACCAAGTTTGTGCACAGGGACCTCGCAGCACGCAACTGCATGTAAGTAGAAGCGATTTTGTATAGGTCGGTGATCTCGCCGTGTCAATGTGTAGGACATACCCCACGGGGACCAACTGGGGGCATTATCGCATGTTTAAACTTTTAATGGTGTTTTTTTTTCTCTAATTATTATAGGTTAAGCGAAGACTTCATTGTGCGCGTCGCCGACTTTGGACTGTCACGAGACGTGTACGAAAAGGACTACTACAGCGGTGACAACAAGAAGACCAAGCTCCCTGTAAAGTGGATGGCCCCCGAGAGTCTGGAGAAGGGCATCTACAACCACAAGACGGACGTGGTGCGTGGACACGGGGAATAGAACCGCACGTTTTTATGCATAGCAATAACAAAAGAAAATGAAAATGCTAGAAATCAGCCACGTGAAAGCCTGTACCCATTCGTCTGGGCAGGTTTGCTAGAATCAGTGTCTTAGCTGTGACTGTGTAAAAGAAAGCCTGCCAAGCCTGTCACTCTTGAGCACTTGATACTCAGCTTCGTGTGCCACACTGCTCGTGTCCTAGCCTCGACATTGCTTTTTTTCACGCAGTCTTAAATGGGTACGGAAACGAAATGACGTGAGCGCGAGTTTTCCTCCACTCGCTTCAAAGTCAGCCAGCGAGAAACGCAATGCGTATCACGCTCGTGATGTCAATAGTTCTCGTACGGCCAAAGGTACTGTAGTTGCGAGCCTCGCTGCTTGGTGGCGTCAACGCGTGACAATTTCGCCTAGTAGTGATATCCGAGGACTGCAAGCCCTATGGCCTATTCGCGGCGAGAAGTTTGGGTATCGCCATTTGATGGAATTTTGTCACAACCCAGAGTGAGAATACTTCAACTTTCTCTGCTGGTGCAAGCACGTGCAGTGCCAAGCTTCTATGGACTATGGAAATTAAAACTCAACCGTGTGGGTAGCACGTGCACTGCTCATAGTGAGAAAAACAGAAGCGCCCCTGTCGAGCTTCTCACCGTGAAGCGCCCCTGGCGAGCTTGCCCGTAACATCATTTGCGTCCATGCCGGTATTTAATGTGCCACGAGCGTTCGCTTCACCTTGTTAGTTTCACACTGCTGTAGTAGTGACTGGAGGGAACCATTGAACAGAAATAACCGCCAGTAGCCAGCAATGGCGTATGGTTGGCCTGACAGAGGTCCCCGCATCCCCAGATGAAGCTCCTGCCTTACGTCTGCAAAGAACGGCGATCGCGATAGTGTGGAAGGCACGTTACAGAAGCATTCTGGAGCTGAGACTGCAGCCAATCACAGAACCACGAGAGCTCGAGGTCGCTGCTTTAAAACGTTGTTCCGCAGAACGACCGAGCGCTCGCGCTAGAAATCCATGTCTCAAAGCCAGGAGCGCGAGATAGCTCGCGCTTGTAGCTTTGGCTGCAGCGTCAGCTTATGAGCGTTCTCCGCAAATTCAATTTCAGGACTAAGTAACTCCACGCGAGAGCCATACTGCCGCGAACTGGCGCTACTTTTAGGAACTCATGACGTGACGGCATTCCAACGGAGCTTCACAGACAACTCCAGTCGTAAATGAAGTCTGCTCATTCGTTTTAAAATGTATTTTTCTTGACTTCTCTGCCTGCAGCCCAGAAACATTAGTGTCGGCTAGTGTTTCTGGGTGGTCGGCACAACATGGGCCACATCTATACAAAGAAATAAAAGTGAAAACATTTTCTTTCCATACCCCTTTAAAGGGGCCCTGCAATCATATTTAAGCGTCTTCCTTTTTTGCGGTTTCCACGTCTCTAAGGGTTGGGGCAAGCCAGCGGGCACGGAGAGAGTAACTAAATATCAGTGCGTCATATTTTAACCGGACGACGCGGAAACCTCCTACACCGACGAGGGCGACCCGCGGTACCGAAAGCGCGCAAAATGTGACGTCTTTGGTCCTGGGCTTGCCACTGGTCAAAGCCGCTAAGAGATTTTTTTTAGTCGAGATACAAAATATAAGTGTCGCGAACCGTTTCAATTATGTATGAAAGTAGTTTTTGTTCACTACTTTAGATCAGAAAAGAAACAAATGCAGTTTAGAAAGTACGGAAACGAGAAATGACCCGTCGACATCCCCGCCACCAAGCGGCGGAAAAAAACGGCGCATACTAGAAAAGGCTAGTGGGAGGAGGCTACGACAGACGAGGAGCGCAGAAAGGTCCCGGATGTACGCGGCGGCGCTGTGGTCGTATACCGGCTCAAGAATCCGACCGGTTCCGAGCGTTCCGAAGGCCTTCGGTGCGGGCACTGCTGGCGATTTGGCCATTTGGCGGTGCGTCAGCGCGAAGTGGCTCCCGTTCTGAACTGATCTTTACCCCGTGTTTGCAGTAGTTTGTGGCCAATGAAATGTTATGCCGAATTACTGTTTAGTCGCGCTGCAAATGAAATGCGAGCTGCCCTGGCCGCCCGCTTCATACAGCCTATCCAACACGTGCTTTAGTGGCGCCCTCTCGAGCCGTCGACACGGAGTGCGGCGGCCGTGTGCGCCGATGTGCTCACTACTCCTCCTCTAGTTCAAGGCCACGCAAGGCAGGACCTAAGACGTCATGGAGTAGGTTATTTTTTGCTTGTTTTTGTAATTCTAATTTGCCTATAACTTTTAAAATAAAGCGAAATTTGAGAAAAGAAAAGTTGGATTAGGTTACTACGTTCAGTACGCTCATGTTCAGTGCAAATTAAAAATCAGTCAAAAAGTCATTGCAGGGCCCCTTTAAGGCTGGACTCGATGGGGCGAATATGCCGCGAAAAATTGACGATGTTTGCCTGGTGGCTTTTGCTCTGTGCGTGGAATCAGCACAGTGGCTGCTACGTCGCGCGCAAAGCGAGCGTGCCGTCGGGCGAAGTTCGTCAGTTCTTCGTCGCATAATTCGCTTCATGAATTTCAGCCTTTAGGCAAGACTCTGTTTCTAGTAAGTCAGCCTGCATTACATGTTCTATTTCTTTATAACAATAAAAAGGTTCCCTTTAGAATAGAGCTTACATGTTGCTAAGTAATTTTGCTTCCTCAGGACTAAAAGGGTGAAGAAGTAAAGCTTGAAGGCTACAATAGCAAGGTCCCTTAGAAAATCATCACCTGGCCCTCTGAGGTTTTTTTTAATGAAAGGCTTATTTTAATGCCTTCTTTCAGCTTGTCTATCATGACGGCCACTTTTTCCACATCTGAGCTGGTGCCTCTATAAGCTTAAAAAAAAGGGGGGGGTCAACATTTTTTAGAGCGCAGCTCTTGGGCGCTCGTTTCTGGCGTGAGCGGCGTCGGCGTCAGCGTAACCGCGCGGTGCATGACGGGTAAATTTCCCCGCTAAATTTAGCGGAAAATTTTCCCCGCTAATTTTACTGAAAAATTTTCCCCACTACATATAGCAGAAAAATTTCCCCGCTAATTTAGCGGAAATATTTCCCCGCTAAGTTTAGCGAAAAATTTTCCCCGCTAAGTTTAGCGGAAAATTTTCCCCGCTAGATTCAGCAGAAAAAATTCCCCGCTAAATCTAACAGAAAAAAAAGTTTCCCCTAAATAGGCGGCGAGCAGGAGAGGAGGAGGGGCATAGCCCCCTCTCCGTACCTTCCGCGTTACAGGGAATTCGGTGTTACAGGGAGTTGTAAACGGATTTCATTTTTTTTTCTTTTTGTTTTCAGTGGGCGTACGGAGTATTGTTGTGGGAGTTGATGACCCGAGGCGTGACGCCCTACCCGGAAGTGGACAACTGGGACATCATCAATTTTCTCCAACAAGGACGCAGGATGCAGCAGCCCACCTTCTGTCCGACCATGCTGTGAGTATGGGCAGAGTCATGATTGCAAGCTTATGACTTTGTAGGGTCTACTTCTTAACTTTGAACCTGCTGTCATGGCAAAACTACTACAGTAAATAGCAGTTTTAACCCTGGATAGTGGAGCGAGATGGACTGCACAACAAACACATTGTTATCTGTTTTGTGCCCCCCCTTTCCAGGGTGGAAAAATCTCTATCAAAACAGCTCGGCTGCATCTTCACTAAAATTAGGTGCCACATGTGCCAACTCTCACCTTCGGAAAACTCGCTCAAATAAGTCAAAGACTCGGCTTCTATACTCGAGGTGGGGAGAGAGGGCCTTCTTGCTTCAATCGTCTTAGCTTAGCCCACGGTGTAAGATGAGATGCTGATTCTAGCATGCCGGCCAGAAGATCACTAGCGAAGAAACACCTAAGACAGATGACGAGATAGCACGGCCTTCGCCCGCTGTTTCTCTCTCGCGATAAATGTGTCTTCTTCAACACGCGAGTCACAAACAGTTCCAAACATCCGTGTTGCACCGCACTTGACCGCATTATCGAGGAGACAAACCACAATTAATAGGTCACGCACCATGCGCCGTCTTTCTACCGCAGATACCAGATCATGCTGCAGTGCTGGGACCATGACCCCAAGAAGCGTCCGTCATTCGCGCGACTCGTGACGGACGTGTCGAATGTCATCAGGACCATGGAGAAGGAGAGCCGCAACAAGAGGGTCAGCCTGAACGTCACCTACGTCAACTATCCGCTCCCAGACGACAGTGGGGCCGGGCCATCGGGGCAAGGCGACGCATCGTCAAAGTGTTCCTAGAGATCCGAATGCCCAAGCCCCATTCCTCCTAGGAGCCAGATTCCCAGTATCGCCTGCGACCAGGTCAAGAATCCTCTTTAAGACGAACTCCACCCCCCTACATCGCGTCGGCTGGCAAAGTGAAGTGAAGTGCTCCAGGAATTCTGACGTGACCGGCTTCAGCTTAACGGAAACAATCAAAATGAGTGGAGTACATGGTTTGGTATTGTGACTGCATCAATGAGAATTTGAAGAACAATCACGCGGATTTTGGTTGCATATCGTGGCCACAGTTTGGATACTTTCGGTCAGGGAGCTTACAGCCCGCATGACATCCGAAAGTTTCTGCTCAGTACAAACTAGCCAACAAATGAACAAAAGGCCACATCTCGATAGGGACACGAAAGGTCTTTGAAGGGTTCACATGTTTTCACAGAGCTGTGCATTTACAACGATCATAATGATGTCACCGGCGCCTTCACTACACAAGTGTCCTTCAAAGTGGTTAGTGGCCTACGCTCCGTTTCTCTCTCATACAAGAGTTTTTTTAACCTTCAGGTATCTTCTTCGTCGCAATCAGTTCGTGCGTTTTAAAGGGCTACGCGTGCATGCCTTTGACAGCATCGGTTCAAGTCGGGCTTTAGCCCACTCCCTTTACTTTTAACCCAACACCTGTTGTGCCTACCCTCGTGAATGGGAGCGAAATGGAAGCTAAGAGCGAAAGGATGTTGCCTCTAAAGGTGCTTAGCTGAGCGTATGTGCATGCATGACATAGACGCAGCGTGCACGGCAGCTGAAGCGGCATCGAAGCCGAAACTGCAAGTGCGAACATGACTCAACGACCGTCCTTGAACATGTGCACTGCAGGCACACTCAAGGCACGAAACACTCCTTAGTAGCTTCAGCTGCGTTCGACACCCAGCTGCTTCGCTCAGATTTATGCTGAGGCTGTTCAAAGGTCGGTAAAATGGGCATGCCCTTGACCGGCGCTCAGGCGCTTATAACCTTGCCCGTCACCGAGTGTGAAGCTCTACAATTCGTGATCCTGTGCCACTGTGCCATTCTTCTGAACTTCCTAACGTTCTCTTCATCTTTCTCCACAAGCAAGAGAGAAAAAGACGACAAAGCTTAAATGTGGTTATGAGTCAGGGTTTCCACCTCACTCTGTTGTCACTGCATTTTTTTCTTTTGTTTGTCATTCCAAGGACGAATACCGTGACATCGATGGGAACAAGTTTGCGCTGAGGTAATACTCTCCAAACAATAGTATGAGTCAGCGTCCATTGACACTGACATACCGATTATCATGGCGCATATCGCTAGTCAGACGTTCATTTTGCAGGTGAACGCGGGGCATATCCGCGTTTGTCAGCATCCTACTCAAAGAGGTTAGTGTGAATCGCCAGAAGGCATTGAGCAAACTAAACTTTCTGTACGGACATTCCAAGTTATAGCGCTCTTCAGGCTTTCAGCGTGTAAAAATCTGCAGCCTGAAAGTGCACGCACGTCGCTGCATTTTTCCATTCTTTCATGAAATGCACCTTGCAATTTGTTAATACGCTTCGACTGGTAAGAGTGGCTTCAACATGCTGGTATGCAACGCACCCTTGCCCCGAGCGACTGGGTCCAGAAACTAGGGTGCCTACATGTCTGTCTGCCTCAGGATGAAGACATCCTTTGTTGCACTGAGTGGGCCAGCGCGTGACGCCCACTCAGTGCGTGTGTTGTGCGGTAAACCAACGTCTAAGCATGAGCCAAGGCTATGCGCTCGACCTTAGTCACACTGGATTGCGTGTTCTTCAAAAGACATAATACGGATGAGATGTCACCCCTCATGCAAAAGTGCGTGTGTCAAGGAACTCTACCAGAAACATCTCAGTAGCGCTACAATGATCCTCACGTCAAAGCCCCTCTATCCTGGGAAAAGTGGCGCCATTCGTTGTTGTAGAAATGCTCGAGGCACGTGCTGCGCGCCACTTCTGGGAAATTCATGGTGTCGTAAATCTAGGGGTGCTATGCTGCGCTTTTTGCACTCCCAGGAGACTTGGAAGAGGGAAGTGACGTCAACGACTAGAGCAAATCAGATTGGATGTTGACAGAAGAAAACAAAATCAACATCCAATCTGCATTTGCTGCGTTGTTGACGTCACTTCCCTCTCCCTAGTCTCCTGGGAGTGCAAAAAGCGCAACATAGCCCCCCTGCTCACTGCGTATCACTGCTGTGCTGTGCCGCCATGATCTTCCCAAGGGCTGCGCTTTGCACGTGCCTTGTGCATCAACGAACCTTGCGCAAGTTTCGAAACATGGAGGGGCTTTACCTCATGTGCACGCTTTTCATATGCTTTCTCAGTGCTAAGCTCGGCCTTGCGTTTAACACGTGCATCTGTGAACAATAGAAGATGTGAAAGCTATGTGTTTTCTTTTTTCATTTTTCGCCAACAATAAACTAGACGACGACTGTTAAACTTCACAGCCTATACGTCGTTGCACCTTAACATGGACTAACCGGCCACAAGCATGAGGGGTATCTTCTACTGGTGCACTTTCAGGTGCGATCAACGGCAGAGACCTAATTTAAGACAAACCCCCGAGACTCGGTAAAAGACGAAGGACAACACAACAGACAGAGTCTCAATCAGTCTCGGCAGTTTGACTTAAAATATGTTAAACCTTCACCAGCTCGTTTGTGCCCTAACTTTTTATTCGGAGATAGCTCACGTTTGTAGCTTGTGCATTTAGTCCCTGGTAAAACAAAATATACTTTTTTTTTTCTTTTTTTTTTTGAGAAGCAGTGTGCCTAGTGCCATAACATCCTGTTGGTACAGGATTGATTTTTTCTCTCTTGTTGATGATGCAAAATCTGGGACACGTGGGGACCTAAATGCCGTCTTGTACTACGCTCGTTGTTACCGCCATGTCTCGATTTAGTTGCTCATGTATACATACAATAGGAGCTCGTGTATTACTCGTGATGTGGTCGTCCAGGGGCCTTCAGTATTAAAGATTGTAAATAAATGTCCACGCAACTTTCTATTTTCAATCGTCTTCCTTTTTTTCTTTTCCTTCGTTGGCTGCAATTGGTCGCCTCTCTTGTGTTCCGACAAAAGGGAAGGAAAAAAAAACGGCAAAGTACAACGCGCTTACGTACAATAAGCGGGTCTGTGTGTTTAACTTCGTTGCCTCTGTAGGCCTACGGACTTAGTCACCGGACCCTGAAAGGAGAGCGCCATTGCCTTCCCTTCGTGCTAGCCATATATGTCGTGAGCGGGCTATATATGGCAGTATTTGAACTTTTATACAGCGACATATGGCCGTATTTGCAAGCGTATATGGCGATATATGGCAGTATTTTCTTCCATATATGGCGGTATATGGCCACATTTGACTCCTTATATTATCATATATGGCAGGGGTGGCCAAACCGCGGCTCTTGCTGTTCCAAGTGCGGCTCGCGGATCCCTCCTAAGGGGACCCCCCCCCCCCCCCTCCCGCGTTTCCCCAGGAAAAAAAGAAGGGATTTCAGGCAGGATGAAGTACGGCTCGCGGTTTGGCAGCCTTGTACCTCCATACGTACTGTCGTACAGCCTTGTGCACTCATACGTACAGTCAGACTCTGAACAAAATTTAAACTTGCCGCCCCCCCCCCCCCCCCCCCCCCCCGTGGCTCTTGGAAGTTTCGTGGTTTCGTTTGCGGCTCTTAGGCCCGGTCGGCTGGCCACCCCTGATAAATGGCCTTATATAAAATATATAAGGGCCGCATATGACATTTTCGCACGGGATGGCTGTACCATTCCACTCTTGCCCGCGGACGGTGTAGATTCTCACGTTTAATTTGTCGCATAGTATCGGTAAGAAAATTTTAGCAGAAAATGGTTCGGCACTGTTCGGTACTTCATTGAAGATCGAATCGTGTTACCAGCGTACGGCCTACATTTAAATGACCATAGACCAAAATGGCGACCATAAGGGGACCTTGGCCTTGACACTACCTTCCCAGAAGCAAGTGGGTTTTCTATGGAGGAGGTTATGCAGCGGCGGGGCAGAGCAAGACCAGGGCCACTAATCTGGACACTTGGCGAAAAGTGTCGGCGGTGAGGGATTCGGCAGCCGTAATCGGATCGCGCCAAGCCCAAGCGCGGCGCCGACCAACCACGGCCGCTGGGTTCCTCACCAACTCTTTTGCCAAGTGCGCAGATTAGAAAAAGACCCTGTATCCTGGGAAAAATGGCGCCATTCATTGTGGTGGAATCGAGACACGTGCCGCGCGTCACTTCTGGGAAGAACATGGCGTCTGCAATCAAGCCCAATGCTGCGCTGTGCCACCATGGTCTTCTTAAGGGCTGCACGTTGTACGTGCCTCGCGCATTGACGCACCTTGCACTGCTTTTAAAACGTGAAGGGGCTTTAAGGGAGCGGTGCAACGATATTCAGTTGGAATGTTTTTCACTTGTCGCATAGTATCGGTAAGGAAACAATTTGAGCGGAAAATGGTTCGGCACTGTTCGGTGCTTCATTGAAGATCGAATCGTGTTACCAGCGTACGGCCTACATTTAAACGATCGCTTGTGTGGATGCGTCGTCTGCTCTAGGCAGACGTTAGGAAGCATGGATCACCACGACGGATGCCTGTCTCCAAGTGCTCCGGGTGAACTGCACTATTTATGTTTAATATGTGTTTCTTTTAAAAGAGATATGTATTGGTTCACCAGCGTAGGAATTCAATAGGACAATGAATTCCAACACGGATAACATAATACTGGTACTGCGGGCTGTGAAATCGCATGCTCTATGTATTTTGTTTTGAAACTTTTAGCTTTTGCAGTAATATAAATATTTAGCACGAAGAGAAGTTAGTGCTGTATTGAAAATTACCGTGCTATTCAGTTCCACTGAAGTCAGTGCTGCCCTTTACTGTGCCAGGATGTGGGTAAATGTTTCGGAAATCGGAACAACGTTGTGACGAGGAGAGAGTGCCTTTTCCCGTTACGATACGGAAACTGTTCGTTGACAGGACAAGTGAAACAAATTATTCTAATATATCTGCCTCGAGCGGAACAAACAAGAGAAACCGAGCAACGCAGTAGCGTGCATTTTATTAGATGCTTTTCTTGGTAGTGTAGTTCACCCGCTTCAACTTTCTCGTTGAGGGCCGCGGATGTTAAGCGGCTAATAGTATAAATTTATGGCTAAATAATCTTATATTCAAACATAGCAGACTCTGCAACATGAAAAAAAAAAAAGACCGGCTCCATGATACAGACGGCATCGGGTGCAGCGACATATTTTTACTGATGAGGGCTAGAGACACTCACGAGACTTTCCGATCAACCTCCGCCCTCACAAAAAAGAAAGGAAGAAGAAGTGTTCAGAGCAAGAAGCTTGATTTTTCGCTCCTTCTAGAACCGAACGCTTTAGGCCAGTTAATTGAATTTTCATCTCGAAAGGAAACCATCTACCATCAGCAGTTCTGCTCAGCGACAGCCCGCCGATCACAATTGATGGAAGGCCAACCTCCACTATGAGTAGCAGAAAGATTTTGACGCCCAATCCACAGAAAGCGTTTGACGCCCAATGACAGGGGCCTAAATTTGCGCTGCCTTGACCATAGCATTTTTGATGGTACGTAGATATCAATTAAAAGCTGTAATTTATATAAGAACGTATTCCAACGCGCGGCTATATTTAAAGATGAACTGAGTTCCTCAAGCTCCAAAAGAAAGGAACAGAGCTCTTCCGTCAGGCTAGAGTAAGCACCCTGGTCACAGAAGCAAACCCTTCTGGGAACACATTTATAAGTTTTAGCTTGAGGGTATTTCAATTTACCAATAACAACGTCGTAGACACTGATTCCTGGGAGAGCCGTTACAGAAGACATAAAAGCTTTTTGATTCGCAAAAAGGAGATCTGGCATACTGGCCCGTTGAATACCAGTTCTTGTTGGCGATAATAAGTTTTGGTAAAGATTCAAACTTAAAATAAAATTGATGTACAAAGAAGGCAACCTCTCCGTAAATGTCGCACCCCTGGACTCAGCAAACAAGCTTGTCGCTGTCACCCCTCACGGAGACATCCAGGTAACTGCTCATATTCCGGAGGCCTATCCCAGGAACTACGAAAAAGTGAACATGTGCTACTTGAATTTGTATCGCACAATTAAGCAAAAACCACGTAAAACAGCATCGTAGCCACGTGCACATTGAAACCGAAACCAACCAAATTCAAGCAACCTAATGGCGCCGAATGCGTGAGCACCCTCTATTCACCGGTGAGGCAACTACTAAAATGAGAAGGCATATAACTTGAGGGGCCAGGCGTGCTGCACGTGCCTTACAAGCTGTGTTTAGCACAAACAGATATATGACTCCGGTCTGGCTACATAAAAAGCTGGTTTTGTTTTCTCCGCCCTTTGTGCCCTGCCATTACACACCGGATAATGGAACATCCGTTGCACCGCTAACGGACGGACTAAGGAATATCAGTTGCCATCATTACAAAATTAAGAAAATATACTGAATAAAAGCTTAAAAAGCGCGAACAAACAAGGACAATAAAGAAACCATTTTTGCGCGTACTAATATGTTTAAGTTTTGCTTTTTCCCTCGCGCTATTAGCGACTGGAAGGGTTTACCTCTCGAAGTATTTATCGACGCCAACTTTGTAGAAGGTCTCGAGCGTCTTGATAACTAGCATGTTTTGCTTTGTACATTGCTGCACCTTCATCTTTTTCGCATGGACATTAGGATTGTGTAAACCTTCATACTACTTCTGGATAGGTCATTTTGTATTAGTGCATGATGGAATTACATACTGCTTGATGCTTGCTTCCCCCCCCCCCCCCCCTCCCCTTTTTTAAATAATATATCCTGTATATTTGCTAGTTAGTTGCAATCCTCTTAATGTCGTGTTATTTGTTTTCGTTGTATGTGTGAATGCATATGTTGTATCCCACACCTACTTGGGCCTTCAATGGCCTGTAGTATCCTCTAAATAAATAAAATAAAATAAATAACACGGACGACAGGCGCTTTACTCTCAACTGGTTTTTATTAACACCATTGTCACCTATATATACACATTGTCCAAACCACATCGGATTCAATCGCCACAATCAGAGCCAACCTTCTAGAAACACCATCTCACTTTGAAGCACTTTGAAACACAGACGGAGCGCTGACACAATTGTTTTCTTTCTTTCTTTATGTAGAATTCCTCTTTAATCTCTCTTTGCGTGTTTTCCTTTGCCTTTCTTAAAAACTTTATGCCAGTCAGGTCAGGTCAAGTTACACCCGCATCGCCTACAATGGTCGGCGAGATGGCCCCCCGCGTTGTTGCACACACATAAACCTGACCTGTCTGGCACCAAGTTTTTAAGAAAGGCAAAGGAAAAAACGCAAAGAGAGGTTATAGAGGCATTCTAGCGCTCCGTCTGTGCATTTGCTTCAGTGTGAGATGGGTCCATATCACAAGAGCGAATGACATTTTAGCGAACGGCGACATTTGAGCGAATGGTCGTTTTAGCGAATAACGGGGGCGCGCGTTAACCCATCCGTCGCGCTGCGCTTTACGCCGCTTCGCGGCGACAGTCTTCGGCAACTCATTACAAAAATGTGAACCCATTTGGCCCACCCGAAAACGCCGCTTCGCGGCGTCCGACTATTCGCTAAAGTGTCGTTCGATGAAACGTGGGCGTTCGCTAAAACGTCATTCGATCAAGTGAGTGCCTCCCGTGTGAGATGGTGTTTCTGGAAGGTTGGCTCTGATTCACAGGAACACCGTCACTGACTCTTCAGAAAAATTGGTCGCGGGACCCACTGCGACACGAAATATTAATAATGGCCTACAAGCTTTGCCAGCAAAGCGGACCATTCCGACCACTGAGGGACCGGTACCAACCGAGGATCAAGATGCCCCAGGCGCTCAACCGAACATCCACCCCGTTTGAAACGCCGTTATGACAACGGCTACGTCTAGACCTACCTCAACGTCAAAGGCGGCCTCCTCAAAGATACGGCGACGACGACTGAGGGAGTAGGAGTGTGA